TAAACATAATGAAACGAGCGTTTGATAAATAACATTGAAAAAGCCTTCTAGAAGATCGAGAAGAGAGACAGAGCAGATGAGTCGAAGATTTCCTTTTCATGCATTCTACTCGTAAAAGACATTTGCATCTGGGCTGGGCGAGAAATGAAATATGTGCCATACCAGATCGGCAATGCGATTAAGATATCAACTTTGGTCAGCCCCTCCCTGCTCCCCTTCACAGAGCCAAAGAGTGCCGCTCCACAAAGATAAGAGGTGAGTTGAAAGCGCTTTGGGTATTTAGAGTGTTGAGAAATGAGACCTGGAGAAATTGACACGAAGCTACATAAAAACTTTGGGTGAAGCCTGTGATGATACAGGGTTCCTGCTAAGGGGGAATCTATATATAGATATCTATATAGCTTGATCTTAAAAGTAAGTTTAATATTTCTTAAAAACGAATCCTGTATCTTAAGCATCTTAAAAACTTAACTTAACTTAACTTTTATTTTCCAATCTATGCTAATAAAACTGGATAAGTGGGTCTCCCGTTCAGCACGTTGCCATCGCTAACACCATTGAAATGGAAACTGGCCAGGCTAACTGGCTAACTGACCAACTGACTGACTGACAGCCACACATCGTCTTTAGAAATGGCGCACAAAAGACAAGCTGCTGCTGCTGTTCAGCATAGGAGTTGCTTCGTTTTGGTCTGTTTTTCGTTTTTGCTTTTTTGTGTTTTTGTTTTTTTTTCTTCTGTTTGACGAAATTGACTTTCTCCATTCAATATAATTAATAGTAATATTCCGATGCCTTGGCTAAACACACACACAGACACACGCCTTCAGAATGGTAACAAACCACACCACCCGGCAGCTTGGAATGTGGACAGGAAGTAATTTGTTATTGCAGGCGTGCATTAGAGATCGAAAGGCGTTCGAAAATCCATCACATCACAGCAAGATCCGCTGCACGTGCACGGTATCTCAGTGGGGGTAATTCTTTGGAGGGGTCAAAAAGGAATTTGAACCGCACCACGGGGCGTATGGGTAACAAGTGAAAAGCCAGGAATGCCAGCCACTCACCCGGCGAATGAGTGATGTGCACGCTGGTATTTACGGGTATTTTTCTATGGCTCTTTAAAGATCTGCCACATTTTGTTGTTTATGCAAATTGTCTTCATTCGAGGGCGCTCGCTACTCACTTTCAAAACGAGACAGAAAGCATATTTAGCTAATATTTTAGGATGGCTTCTGCTGCTTTTACTTTTCTCCCTAGCATTCCGCTGGTTGAAATTAAAAGTAGTTTACCAGACGCTTCTGTTTTGGGTTTTTTTGTATTTAATTTGTATTTTTTTTTTGTTTTTGCCTTCTGCCATCTGTTTACATAACGATGGCAAGTAAAAAAAAGAAATAGTTTAACAATGCCAAACTAACAAATAAGGCAGTTCGGGCACGCACTCCACGAAACTATCTGCCAACCAATGTGTGAATGATGTGCCTGGGCAAGAGCAAGTGTCCAAGTGGCAACCAGTGGCCATTTCACGTTCATTGACATGGCTAATGGCTGGTGGCTCACACTCGGCTTGGAAGTGGAGTGAAGTGAAGTGGTGCTGGGCAGAAACCAAACCACCAACAAAAAAAAAAAAGAAACAAACGACACGTCTAAGTCGAGGTTTTCGCCGGCACGCGTTTGTTTTACCTGAGAAGACGGGCCAAATATGTTATTTAATGCATTGGCATGCACAAATTAAGACTCGTTATAATTGGGGGTTATATAACGCATAAACGGCGCTTATCTAATGACACACGGCATAAGCAAAGAAAGCGTCGCAATTAGACGAGTTTTTCTAGCCAGTTTGTGTCAAATAATAGGCCCAAGATCGAGTGATTTTCATGCGTGTTCGTTTGTCGCCGCATTTGATGTGTTCAGCCGTTATGGATGAAAATGCTCAACGGGTGCGGATCAAATCAGATGGTTAAAAATGTGAACGGAGAAAAATTAAATCTTTAATGTTATACTATCAGAATAATAACCGACTAACACTAACGAGCATTTTGCTTTTGTCGAGCTGTATTCGAGATTCTAAAAAAGTAAGAAAGTAACACTAGTGCTCAACCCATATTTTCATTCAGCTAACATGTGTTCTTAGAAAGTGCTTAATAATATTTAAATATAGAAATATTACTGTGTCGAACTGATCACGGGTGGTCAACCTTTACGGAAGAACGTAGCACTCAGTTTTCATGGCAACACACTTTCGTACATTAAAAGCGGCCACGAGCACCGGATTGCAGATTTTTTATTTGCATATTTAAGGCCAGCTGAAGAGCTCGGCTAACATTTCACTTTTGGAGCACATTTTATGGATTTTCTTTTAGCGCCATAAAAGCAAAAGCTTTGACAAGCCACTCTTCTCGCTCGCAGATGTGGCATATTTGGAATTTGAATTCTAGGCTTGGCGGTTGATCAAGACAAGCCGAAGCTGACTGCTGTGGAACCTCGAACCATAGCTTTTCGAAAACATTTGTTCAACCATTCAAATTTTTACCTAACATATTTATGTTTTTTATTTTGTTGATTTTGGACTCTTTATTTTCTTCTGTTATCTTAAGATTTCTCTAAGCAAGAGAGGAGTCCTACCTGTCAACGAGGTTCCCTTTCAGCTAAGACCATTTTAAACTTAAGCGCCAAATCGACCTACAGAAAGCTTCTCTCTCTGATTGGAAGTGCTGGAAAACTCCAAATTATAGCTTTATGTTCGAAAAAGCTATTCGAAAACAGCTGATCGGCCAAACAAGTTTTTATCTACGGCATTATCTTTTCCACGCGCTCCCCCATCAGCCCACTTCTTGCTCTTTATTGTTGTCGTCCCCAAATCACTTATTCGCTGCGTTTCATTGGGAGTGGTTGGCCATTTTTTCGGTCAGCAAATAAATTAGTCTGTGTTCTTGCATTCTAAATCCGGCATTTTAAATATTCTTAAAGGTAAGTGTAACACTCAGGGTTTATGTAAAGCGGTTTCAAAAGTCACGTTCTCCACCCACTTTTATCTCATTTCTCTCAATTATTTTAACTGCATTTATAATGCTGACTTGCAATTTATCTCGGCAAATAAAAAATGGAGGATTTCCAAATTGGGCTCAATGTGTGAAATGCAAAAATACGAGCCTTCTTTATGCGAATAATTTGCGTTGTTTAAGTATATGCATAACCCCTGGCCCAAACCTCTTTTTTTTAGACCCGAACTTTCCCCACCGGTCTGTTTTTATATGCAATTTATCTGCCTGCCGCTATGTTTGTTTTTTCTTTGCACCGGTTTGCCTCCTCAAAAGAGAGATACAGATAAAAAAAAACAAAAGGAAAAAAGAGATGAAAGAGAGAATTTATCGATAGGGAGACAGAGGCAGACACGTAACCCATTAGACAGGCGTTTCTCTTCCACCTGATTCTCCAGGTGCTGTCCAAAGTTTAATCTTAAATTCGTGTCGACAGTATTAATTAAACCCATACAATTACTATGCATATCTACAAATAGATTGTTCGAGAAGACCCCCTGATAACTGTTATCTTATAGGACTTCTGTAGTTTTTCAAGTTAAGCCTCTTATATATTTCAAACTGTAAGATTTTATTTCTGATCTTAATTTTTATTTTACTGGAGTAAATCTTAATAAAACCTACTGATAACAAATTATGAATGCCTTAAAATACTTTCCTAAATCAGAGTTTTATGTTCAAGTTAATAATTAAAACGTTGCTGTTTTTTCGTATGGTCATTTTATTTTATTTGTTTAGAAACTTAAAACAGATGCCAATTTCGTAACTTTTTAATTTTCAGACTTGACTTGGCTTGCATGTAATTGGCTTTTAAACACATCTCAACAAGTTTTTAATTATTTTTTTATGTTAAATTTATAATACAAAACATTACACAATAACCCTTTTTTCAATTTTAAATGTCCTCTTATGCTAGCATATATAAATGTTTTATTAAACATAAACTAAAACTAAAAAAAGTTGCCTAATGTCCAAGGGTCAAAGTTCACCTAAACTTGCGCAAGCTGATATTCTTATGCTGAAAATGTGTTATCGTACTTAAATTCACACATTCAGAATATGGGACTTTAGTTGCATAAAAAATGTATTCAAAATATTTCCTGAATTACAAAAAAAAAAACAACCTAGAAATGAGAAAATTACAGATTGATACTCGTTTTGCACACTGTCATTGCATGTTTATTTACTAATCCCAAATCTTATCAGAAGAGGTGGGCTTGGAGTTTGATATGGTATACCATGTTCGAAGTCTGCCAGATGGGCTAGAAAAACCGCTTGTGAAATTCGTTTGGTGAAAGCATAAATATTGTTTTTTCGGCCTCCGCCCCTTTTTTCCCAGCTTAGGCGTGGCATAAGCTTATGGCGTGCTTAGCGATCGCGCCACCTTAACATGTTAATTAGGTTGTGGAAGATACAAGTGAAGATCTAAAGATTTCTTTATAAGATAGAAGGTAGACGCTGACGTTTTTAAAATTTGAAAAGAAAAAATAAAAAAAGAATCACGCAATTGTTAGTATATTAGACAAATGAACGGCATTGAATGAAAAGATAAGAAACGTAGACGTTTCGAGATAATCAGAGCGAGCCTCCCTCGCAACAAAAATAAATAAAATTGGCGCTCAAGTTCAAAAATTATCTAAGCTTTGACATGGCACTACCCATCATTTGCGAGCTATCGATATCGATATCAGAGAAATGCCAGCTGATGGAAAATTTAAATGACAAGAATTGAAGTGTAAAAATTCCAGAAGTGCCACGCGCTGTTTTAAATATAGATTATCTCGACAAGTTGGCCCTGAACTTAACATAAAAGTGGTTAGGCCCCAAAAGTGGAAAAGTTTTTGTCAGCTGATAAGAGTTGACATTTGTGAGAGAGGGAAAGAGAGGCAAAGAAAGTTATTGACAGGATGAAAGAGAGCGGAGATGCCTCCCGCAATGCCAAAAAACGATTGACAAGTCAGCCGGCGATAACGATTACATGTTTACGCGTTCACCGAGTGCTTATTGTTTTCCCTCTTGTAACATTTTTAATTAAAACTGCTGCTTTTTTAAGTACGTCAAGTTTTGTGAGAGTAGCTTATCAAAGTCCGCGAGCTAAATCTTATCTGTCCGGCTATTTACTAGGTTGTGATTACGCCGATTGCGCAACCATTTGATTGTACGGTACACGGAGAGTCTCAAACTGCAGCGAATAACGGCACTTTACAGTTATCAGTTACAGTTAGGACGCGGGTGACGCCTACAGCTTTTGTCCGGTGATTTCTCTTTTCTCCGGGGTTCTAGTGTCGTTGTTTCACATTGGTGACAAACAATTTCGTCTCTCGTTTCCAGTCGCCGTTTCATTCATAATAATTACAAACTTGTAAAATGTTCGCCTTACGCCGCACAGCCGCAATGATGACGTCGGTCCACCGGCAGACGCAACTCAACCGGGCCGTGTTCCGTGCCAATTTTGCCATCAGTGCCGCGGTAGGTTCTTCTTGTATCCTCTTCTGTTGACCTGAATCTTTCTGCTTTCCAAATTTCTATGTAGGGTGTGTCGATATTTTGGGGCAAATCATTTCAAAAAAAAATTAGCAATATAATCATGAACGCTTAGATGAGAATACTTGAAAAATGTTTTCGTCAGATTTTGAATCAACAAAGATCGACCCACCCTATCCCAGTCGCATCAAAGTTCACTTTGCTTTTGCTGACTGTTACTTTATTCTATCATCGTCATCTAAACTTCGCCTATATCGCCTGTGTCTAGGAGTCCAGTACCCTCAAGATAGCTATGGATAGTGAGAGAATTTCCGCCGTGAGTGAGGTGAATGCCCCTACACGACAGCTTTCAGACACAAATCCATTTTTAACATAGCTAATAAGATCATTACCTTGCCACCTTCAAGCTCTCATTCGTGGTATGCTCTCCCGAACAGATGGCCCAGAAGATTCCTGCCGGACCCGTTGTAGATGTCCTTGGAGACGAGATGACCCGAATCATCTGGGACTCGATCAAGGAGAAGCTCATCCTGCCTTTCCTAGACATCGAGCTGCACACTTACGATCTGGGTATTGAATACCGTGACCAGACTGAGGACCAGGTGACAATTGACTGTGCTGAGGCCATTAAGAAGTACAACGTCGGTATTAAGTGTGCCACCATCACTCCCGACGAGAAGCGCGTGGAGGAGTTCAAGCTGAAGAAGATGTGGAAGTCGCCCAACGGAACCATCCGTAACATTCTGGGAGGCACCGTTTTTCGTGAGGCCATCATCTGCAAGAACGTGCCCCGCTTGGTGTCCGGCTGGCAGAAGCCCATCGTGATCGGTCGTCACGCTCACGCCGATCAGTACAAGGCTGTGGACTATGTGGTTCCCGGTCCCGGCAAGCTCTCGCTTACCTGGAAGGGAGCTGATGGTCAGGTGATCGATGAGGTGATCAATGACTTCAAGGGCCCCGGCGTTGCCCTAGGAATGTTCAACACAGACGACTCCATCGTGGACTTTGCCCACGCCTCTTTCAAGTTCGCTTTGGACCGCAAGCTGCCCCTGTACATGAGCACGAAGAACACCATTCTTAAGAAATACGACGGTCGCTTCAAGGACATCTTCGAGGACCTGTACAATAAGCAGTACAAGAAGGAGTACGAGGCGGCGGGCATCTGGTATGAGCACCGCCTCATCGACGACATGGTTGCTTATGCCATGAAGTCCGAGGGTGGCTTCGTATGGGCCTGCAAGAACTACGATGGTGATGTACAGTCCGACTCCGTTGCCCAGGGATACGGTTCTCTGGGTCTCATGACCTCTGTGCTACTGTGCCCCGATGGCAAGACCGTAGAGGCTGAGGCCGCCCACGGAACTGTAACTCGTCACTTCCGTTTCTACCAGCAGGGCAAGGAAACCTCCACCAACCCCATTGCCTCGATCTTCGCCTGGACCCGGGGACTGCTGCACCGCGCCAAGCTGGACAACAACGAGCCGCTGAAGCAGTTCGCTGAGACCCTGGAGCAGGTGTGCATCGATACCATCGAGGGCGGTGCCATGACCAAGGATCTGGCTATCTGCATTAAGGGCAGCATCAACGCTGTGGAGCGCAAGGACTACCAGGAAACTTTCGAGTTCATGGACACGCTTGCCAAGAACCTGGAGGCCGCCCTGGCCAAGAACGCCGCCGCCGCCAAGTGACTAGCCGGCTCACAGTCCGAGCCGCAGGCCTCGCACCTCTAAGGAACCACTCAGGGAAGCCTCGTCCTCGTTACCATTTTCACAATATTGTCATTCGTTTATGTAGATGTGCATGTCCTAGGTTAACTATTTGTGTCCTCGATGCATGTTTCACACTCTTTCATTGTCTCTGCGAGACGCCTAAAAACCCCTGATTTCCCCTTAACGTCTAACGGAAAAAGAAATTTCAAATAAATGTATTTTTGTACTGGACTCGAGAGGTCTTTAACCCAGTCGAGGGTGGGCTCGTTACGAGACCCGGTCCACTTGTGCGGCTTCTTATGAATCCGGGTTTATTGGATTTGCCAGCGATGTGGCCACAGTCGTGTTTCAACACTTGGCGGCACCACACCTAGAAAATTCCAGCGGAAAGGGATCAGTATCCTGTGAGGAGGGAGAAACTATCGATGCTAGCCAAAGTATTGGGCTATGGCTATCTGCTGGCCTATGTGATCTGTCTATTCTGCTGGCCAGGAGAGGCATATCCGGCTAGTACTAGCTACCGGGATCTGGATATTTGTAACCACTGGGATGGACGCCGTCACTTCCTCGAGCTTGGAAGTCCAGCTGGAGAGCTACATGCTAGGAATGTGACCACGACAGCCTATCGGGTAAGTTATTCCGTGAGCTTTACTAGTAGGAATTGGCAGCTATAAATTTAAAATAGAGCTCACCGCTTGGCTTCAAGAACGATGCAGTGGCTGGAGATGTGTGGTACCAGTGCAGCCTAGAGTTGGTCACTTGTGCGGAGTGCGTTATACGAGTGGCCTTCACCTATGCGAACTTTTCCAAGAGCTGTGGCAACACCGGTGGCAAATCCAGCATGTGTCCTTGCGAACATATTCAGTTCTCGGAGCCGCCTTACGACTCTACCATTTCTGGTCAGGAGTTCTGTGGGGATGGCAAGGTGTTCCGGAGCAAAACCAGGACCCTACAGTTGAAATTCTTCTATAGGGCCAACAATGCCCACGTCTTCTCCTTGCAGTACTTCTCGGAGCGTAAGATTTCAATTTCACTTGAATACATTTGGATAGATTTATCTTCAAGATTTATTTGAAACAGGCAACGTACGGATAGTCAGTGGTTCCCCAAAGCAGTCAATTGTGGGCAATGGGAGCACGAAGTACCAGCCGCAGGTGATCTCCACACCGTACTTCCCCATGCCATATCCACGCGATTACGGCATCGAGCACATCCTTACCTGTGAGGCGGACAATTGCCAAGTGCGGTTAGACTTTACAGATTTCCAGCTGGGTCTTGCCTCAACTTTGGAGATCTTCGACTCCAATGGCCAAATGTTGGACTCCTATACGGGAGAGCACTTTCGACCGCCCATCACGGTGAGTAGCGGAAAGTCGCTGCTCCTACAGTTCCGTGGAAATTCCGCCACAGGAGTAGGTTTCCGAGCGGAAGTTAGCTTTGTATCGTCTAAGCAGCTGAAGGACGAACGTCTAGTACCCTACACAGGTGAGTTGGGTGTTCAAGACACTGAGCAAAATACTTACGGAGAAAGCTGTACGGCTTATTTAAAAAAGAAAACTTAAACCATATATTTAATTATATAACTATCTGGTTAAAATAATGTAGGATGTATAAGATGTTTTTGAAATAGCTAAAATTTGTAACGTATTTTTTCTGTAGAGGGACATCTGAATAATTGCCGGATTAGCCGGGCACTTGAAGGTCTGCAGGGAATTGTCATATTGATTTTGGCAGAGGTAGTGGGCGGTGGGCTCTTGACAAATATCAATGTCAATGCAAGGCGATGAAGTGGAAACTGGGTGACACTCTCCGGTTAGGTCTGGTTTGGTAATACAATCGATTTCTTGGATCATTGCCCAATGGGTGGTGTATGTATGTATAATCTGAAAAGGGGTTGGATTGGTTATGCATTGTTGAGGCAGGTTGGTCAGTGTATAACAAACACAATTTGGATTCGATTAGGGAAAACATGATGCAATACCACAGAAATGAATAACTATTAGTTCCATAATAATTAATGAACAAGATAGGGGTGGCAACGTAATAAAAGATCAGATCTAATAATTAATGACAATCATCAATCTTTTTAGACTGTGGAGGAATGGTCACAGGACCCGGTGGCGCCATAACCATGATGAACATGATCGAAAATACCACGGATGTGAGGCTCTTTGACTGCATTTGGATCATAAAGCCCGGTAATAACTACATGATGATGAAGACCCATATCTCCTTGAGGGTTGACGACTTCTACGGTATGGCCGCCCGATCGGAGTTGACTATCCGGCAGGGCACAACATCCGATGCTGTAGAGATCGAAAATGTGATGTGGCCGAACAATGGCCTGAGCAAGGAGAGTCATGTGGCACCTATCCTCAACGGATATTATATTCGACTCCGGGGGGTTTTCGGAATGTCATCCAAGCTGGCCATTGTCTACAGCGTCTTCAACTATTTGAGTGAGTACTAGCAGAAAATTTAATGGGTTTTTATTTTGAAAAAAATGGCTTTAAAAATTTTAAATAAACTTTAACCACATATATTAATAATATACCATTTCTGTTAACTTTGGCTTAGATTGCTACATTGGCTCGGAGTTTCTGTGCGGGAATAACCACTGCATTTCTATTCGACTCCATTGCGATGGCTTCGACCACTGTGGAGATGGTAGCGATGAGCCGGATTCCTGTGAGGAGGACTGGGCCCACCTCCACCACGATAGGCGCTGGTATTCCCACAAACCCAATTACTACTTTCCTAAGATAGACCAGTATCCGGATCTCAAGACAGCTACGGGTATCTTCATTATAAGCACGCTGGGAATATTCGGAGTGCTTTCCGGCTGGATGGTTATCTTGTATAGAATGGGGGTAAGAGCACGTCACCAGAGGGAGCTGCAGAGCCACCTGCAGACGATAAGTGAGCTGCTGGATCGGCAGGACGAGGATCGCACGCCCGATGAACCACCGAGTTACGAAGCGCCACCTGATTATGAGGAGGTGATTAAGGTGGGGATGCAACAGGAGCTGAGGGAGCCGCGCCGCCAGAGACGAGCCCGTCGTGCTCCTCCTCGGGATCGCAGCTGCAGTCGCGCCGCCAGCAACTGCACCATGCAGTCGGTACTCCCACTGCACCGTAGCTGCAGTCTTGATAGAGATCAGGAACAGCCCAGCACATCGGCGGCGGCAATGACCCATGCCGTGGCTGCTACGGACACTACAGAGGATGCGGAGCAGGTTCAGACGATGGCCCAGCGTATGCTTCTCGCCACGGCTATTTGTGGTAGGTTGAGGGTTTCCCCAATCCCACCCTGCAGTCGCTAACTTACCCACAGAGTCCCACTTGCAGGCAATGCAGGCACGTCTCTCCCGGCAGCAAAGGAGCCTGCGATCCGGGTCCAATCCGTGGGGATTTCAACGGGCCCGTTACCGTTATCCGCTGGGGGTGAATTATCCACAGCCGGTGGGTCAGCTACAACGCCCGGTAGCACGGCAGATGAGTGCACCCAGGGAGGCGACTCACTCAGCATTTCACTCACTCTAGGACTGCCTTCTACGACAGTCGAGAGCCCGGAGAGCTCCGACCAGAACCAATACCAGAACCAAAGTCAGGAGCAAACCAGCAGCAATTGCACGGAGCACACGTACCTAAAGAGATCGTGGTTGGTGGTGCAACAGGTTCCACCTGGAAGGGGTTACAGGGTCCAGAGACTGCGACACACTTTCTCTTCGCCTGAGGCCTTCACTGGCGATGAGCTGCAGCTGCCGTATCCGGATTTCCTGAGCTACGGCACCAATCTTCCACACGAACGGAGTAGCAGCAATTTTGGATCAGAATTGTCGAGGGATCCATCGAGTTATAGCGTGGGAAAGCGGGCTCGCTTGACCACCGAAGAGACAAGTGAATCGGAAACCATTACTGGGGAAAGGCAGTACTCCAACCAGACCCTCCAATCCCATGTGATAGAGGAGATGCCGCCCAATCAGAGCGAAAGTGAAAGCGAAGGGGAACAGCAGGTGTCCTGCTTTGGAGCCGTAGCCCAGCGGCCCAAGCGGCGTCATCGAGGTCATGTAAGGAGCCGGTCTTTCAGCAATACAGGAGCTGGCAGTGCCGGAAGGAGGCGTCTAATCCAGCGAAGTTCATCGGCTGATCTTCTCATGAACTATGCCACAATGGCAGTTTCGACGCCACAGAAAAGATCAGAGGGCATGCAGCGATTATTCTTTATCTGAGCGGGTAATCAGAATTTGGAGTGATTAAGTGGAACGATAGTATTAAAGCCTGGTGTGATTCTGGTCGGGATCTGGTCACAGTAAAATATATCTGTTCCTTATTCGAATGTTATTAACCTTATTAACTTTGATTAATTAGATACTGTTGGCTGTTTTAACATATTTTCCAAGATTTTTAAATTGATTCAAACCAATTTTACCAAATAGGAACAGGTATCTACGTTTGTATTCTATATTATATATACCACACCCAATTAAAATAAATAACATTAATAATTAGCATTCTGTTGGTTACTTTATTTCTTTATAGCGATATACGTGTAGCATTCGTCAGTGCAAGTCAATCTGTGCCCCAGATCAGATCATAAAACAACAACAAATCTTCACCACACGACATCGCCAAGATCCACTTCAACCCACTTATTGATCAAGAGCACATCTTGACGAGCACTGGCTTTCGGGTGCCTCAAAGGTGCAAAATAATAAAAATCTATTACTCGCGTATATATGGAAATCAAAATGCACATTTGTATATGTATATATGTACTATATAGACGAATATGATAAATAATACCAAGGCGTAGTCAATGCCGTAGGCCTGTCTGCTATCCAGATCCACCTACGCTGTATCTGTATTATTTTCCGCAATGCTGATCCTACTGCTGCAACTGTTGTTTAAGATTCTCAGCGAGAGATTTTCCGGTCTCCAGGGGCACCACTATATTTCGCAGACTGTCGATGCTGTTGCGCAGTTTGGTGGCCTGGAATTTGCTGGGCAACTTTGGTGACCCTCCCACAGAGGCAAATGCAAAGGTCTTGTACTCCTGGGCAGCCATGGTTGGGAGCAAAAGGTACGAATTTTATATGTTATATACAAAGGGTTTTATTTGCAACGCAAAATATCAATAAAATCATAAGCAATCAGCAGGAAGGTTCAATGCCTGTGTAGAGTCGACTAAATAAAGATTCTTCATTGTATGTCATGGTGTGAAGGTAAGCGCGTATTTAAGTTAAACAATGATAAGAATGGTTGGGTAATTCCAGAGAGCTTAAAGTATTAAAGTAATGTTGTCGACATTACTGGGAGCTCAGCTCTCGGGCTGATTACCCATATCTTAATTATCGAAATTATACATACAAAAACTAAAAAATAATCAACTGATAATATTTCAGTCATGATAATTGGCTGGATCACTGGTCCCTAGGTTACCTGATTGCCGCTGGGGGAGCTGGCCTCGCTGAGGGTCGTGGGCGCCTGGCCCATGTAGGATTGGAATGTGGGCGTCGGTCCGCCACTGCCATTATCCCGATGGCCGCCACGGGTAGTAACCTTCTCCTGCAGCGAATTAAAGGTCTTTGATAGCCAGGGCTGCCAGCTGTTGCGATTGGTCTGCAATTCACTGAGCGTATTACTGAGCTGATGGTTAAGGTCCTGATTCTTGCACTCCGCCTCTACTTGAGCAAGTTTGGCCTGAGCCAACTCCAACTCTAGCTCGCGGATGCGTTGCGAAGCAGCGTTTAGGGGATCAAGTGGACCCAGCGGTGGCTCATTAGCATTCCGCATGGCATCTGTTTGCCGCCTGGTTTTGCCGCCATCTGACTTGGCATTGTCATTGCCGGCGTCGATCTGCTGTTGGCAATCCTGGCAGTTAGAAACCATGTGCTGAAAGAAAAGATATATTTTAATATGTTAGTTTCAGTAAAGTTTAGTTTATCATTCACCATCACTTTGCTCAAAGTCTCACTGAGCGTGTTCATATCCTGCTCCTGGCGCTGGATGATTTGTTTATATTCCTGTATAATGCCTGTGTGCTTCTTTTCCTTCTCCACAGCACGCTCCTTGGCTGACGTCAACTGTTTATTTAACGCATCAATTTCCGTCTGCATCTTACGCCTTTCCTCGCCAAAGCGGTTTTCATAGATCTGCGCTTCCTTCTCCAGGCGCTCCTTGTGCTGTTTCTTAAGCAGGAATTCCTCCTCGTACTGCTTCAGCTTTTTAATCTTTCGCTCGCAAGCTTGTTTCATTACCTTGCGTGCCTGGCTGGAGCTGCGGCACTTTTTCGGCAAAGTAACCCGGAAATACTTTAGAATGCCCTCAAAATCAAGCTGTCGCAAATCGGATTCGCAGATCGACAGCAGAGTCACGGCCACCTGGAATAGCACAGGCAGTCCGTCCAGCAAGAAAACATCCAACACGTGAAACACGAAGCACAACGGAAAACGGGCTGTATATAAGGTTAGGAACCACTGGGAGGCGTACATGTGCGTCTCAATACCGCACGCCGTGAAATGTTCATGCAGCTTGGGCAGTTGATCCTTGATCAAACGCTCAAGCTGGTAGAGTCGCAGATAAAGGACCTCGAATCCCGCCTTGTAGAGATCACGGAGCCCGTAATCGTACATCAGGGCCACTAGAACACAGAACGCATCCTCCTCTGGCATCTGAACAGGGCGATATTAAACAATTTAATTTGTTTATGTGGCAGGCAGTGGTTTAATCTTGTTAAAGACTCACATGGAGCAGCAGACTGGCTGCAATAAAACTCAGACCCTGGCAATATCCGACCTCGCTGTCATGTACCGCATACGCTTTGGACACCTTGAAAAGAGCGTCCTGACCAGAGCCGCCAGTCTCTTTGAAGCATTTGTGCGCCGGGAAAGTGCGATGGATATCCCGCTGGATAACGGTCTCACATTTGGTTTCCTACAGGAAAATATCCAATAATTTGTTATGTTATTAGGGATAGTTAAGCCACTTACTTTGGTGATCAAGATCTTGTACTTGTCGTTCATCTCCAGCCTGCTCTCGACGTTGGCTAGTTTTTGCCAGATCTTCTCACGCAGTGCTTCTGGAACACCAAGGCGAACCAAGGGTGCTAGGTTTTTGGGTCTCTTTTCCCCGTCCCATTCCCTCAAAATCGGATCCCACTCGTCTAGTGTGTCCTGCGAGCAATCCTTGGACACCTCACCAGTACCACTAAGTAGCGGTTCATCGCCATCGCTGCTATAATCCGATGGGCAATCATCCTCAATTGAGGCAATGGACGAACTGCGCACGATGCGCGATAAATTATTCATGCCCATCTTGAGCAGCGAGGAGCTCTGCTGGTGTCCCGTCTGCTCCGTGATCTCCTCCGAAGGATCAATACTGTTCACTTTCCAGTTGGACTCGTCGGTGCGCTTGAGATGTAAATAAAAACGCAGCGTCATCGGCCGTTTTGACATAAAGTGATCCATAATCCTCATTTCACTGGCCGATTGAATAGTCACAGGGGTCTCGATGACGAACCTAACTGGTTCCTGGATGCGTCGCATCACAATGTCCACGGCCACTGTAAGATTTGTCTTGGACGATTCAAGGTTCAACTGTTCAAAGGCCTTCTCCTGGGCCTTCCATTCAGCTCGAATGGCATAGGGCCATGCTGAGTTTTGCTGGGAATTACTGTCTTCAGTAGCTACTCCTGTTCCACCTGGAGGTACGTAGCCCATGCTGTGCATGTCAATCAAATGCATATCCTTTTGTACCACCAGTTTTCCAGGAGCCACAAGGACTCCAAAACATCGTTCGATATGCAATGGTTGAAGAATATTCGACGGAGTCTGTTTGACTGTGATGCAAACCTCTTTATCAGTGTTCGCCCGTAGTTTAAAGCATCCCCTATCTCGCGGAACTGCAGCATACGAGTTTTTTGCGACCCTTTCGCGTATTTCCAAAGAAACTATAAACTCATACCCAGCCGTATTTAAAGGATTTCCGCTAACATCGGAGGTAACCGAATTTGCCATGTCCACGGCCGAGTTGAGACTGCAACTCATGCTGGGCGGATACGTCTGGAATGCTTTCTGGAAGCAGGCTGTGGGTAAAGATTTAAAATAACCCATAGGATGATATCACTATATTATCTGACTCACCGCTGACTTGATTGACCGCCTCGGGAATATGGCACCGAAATACATGGCACTGGAACAACGCATCGCCATGCAACCAAGTGAATGCGAAGCAACCGTTTTCCACCGTGTCCACAGGCCCACGATAGTAAAGGATTATGCTGGATATCTCATATGTGGCAATAATAGTATTGCTCTCGGCATCATGGAGGCTGTAATAGGAGCATTATAACATTGAGTGAATCATTCTCGGGGCAGTGAAAACTTTACTCACACCACCAGACCATCCGAGCAGTTGGGAATGCTCACTGTGATCTTCAGGCCCACCGATTTGGAGCCACTGTTTAATTCGCCCATGATGCGATACACCTCCGTCTCGGATTTGGGCGCATTAATATTGGCAGCCCCCAGATAAGTGACTCCAGAGAATATGGTGCAGCCTTGATCGATCTCTGAAACTGTTTAACAGATTTAGAGAATGCATTACATTTTTAATTCGGTAAGTGATTAAAAACTACTAATGACCAGTGAGGAATATTGATAAAAATAAAGATTTCTATAAAATTTAATAAACTAGTTGAATAAAAATCATAAACTTTCAAGCATTTTAGAAGTTGTCAAGCCATTTGAAAAGCAAGTCTCAAGAAAATTTTAATATCTAAGGATAATAATAATTTAAATGACCTACTCACCCTCCTCGTCAGTGGTGTCGCCCTTCTCCGGTTTCATGGCATCCTGCTTCTCCTCCACGCAGGCAGGACTGGCGTCAATACAATCGTAGAACACCGAATGACCCACTCTGTTTGAGCTAGACGCATCGTCCAGGGTTTCCTCGCTCTTGGGCGAAAACAGAGTGCAGGGAAAACGCATCTCGGGATCGACAGATCTCCCGCCGGAGCCCGTAAGCGGCAAGGTCAGGGACTTTTGCTGCTGACTCGGGAGACGTTGCGTTGTCTTGTCCCCAGAAGCAGCTGGAAAAATGTTAATTGTCAATTACGCGACGAGCAATAACAAAAACCGATTTATGCGGAATTTTGTTTAAGAAAAGTATTATTATTCGGTTTGTTTGTCGATTGTTTCCATGACAGCGTAGCACTGCGGCTCTGCTACGATAAGATTGCAGCTGGCTGGGCTTAACTATCGCTTGGTGTTTCCAATTTTGAAGCGACGATGTGTGCACAGCTGGCGTTGGCCAGCGACTGAGTTTAGTTTAGGGAACCCAAGGCAACCCATTCCACCCTCTCAGTTGTGGTTCTCTACTCACCTACGCCGCGTTCTAGCTCCAGATCTCTTAGGGCGTCCGTCATTTCGTGCTGCATATCGGTGAGGTTGCGGTTGTGGGCCATATCCAGTGTGGGCGAACGATCTCCTCCAGCTTCGGGGGAGGACAAGGCCAGAGCACTCAGTGAAGTGGGTGGTTTGCTTTCCTCGTCCGGTTTAATCCTGTCATGGTTGACAACCTGCTTCACCTGATCCATGGGACTGGCCATATTGCTATCCGTGACTATTTCGTATTCCCCGCTAGTTGTTATCGAGGATTCCGAGGACTTTGTGCTTAGATTATCATCCATTCCGAACACTCAAGGTTGCCGCAGGTCCGGGTACTCCAAAATGGTTTGGTCTTTGTTGTTTGTGAGTTATACAAATTTTCTTTATTCGTAAGCCCTACGAATTGCGCATTTTCGGGGCAGGTAAACAAATCAATTTCTACTCCAAGGCCGCGCACTTGCTTTTTATAGATTTCGGTTTTAATTTGTCCAATTTTCAGCGGAGTCGCATTGTTTGGCTTGGTTCCGCCGTAAATCGATGACGAATCGGTACGGTTTTGTTGGCTTTTTGGGGGCGTACACACACGCGCATGTATGTCACACAGCGCCCACTTCGCGGGGTGGATATCGAAGGGGTGTTGGGCGGTGGGGTCGGCGGGGTCAACAGTTTGCTGTCGCCTTTGCGATCGGATTCCACTGGATTTTTTGTTAGCTTCAGTATATTTAGTATCATTCCCTAACACTTTGGTTTCTATATTACAGCCAAAACTGTGCGAAACTGTATCACATCGTTTTAACCACGATTTGTTTGGGTTTTTCACGATTTTTTCATAAATTTTCCTGCAATTTTCCCCTGTTTTGTTTACATATTTTTCTGTTAGTGGTGGATACTTATGACTGCTTATCGATAGTGAACAGCTGTTTTTTCGTTTTACAATACTACTTGTTTTCAGTGCTGGCAAATGTACTGATATAAAAAGATCGATTACCTTCAAAACATTCAATAAAAATTTAAAAGGGGAATTCCAGTTATTGATCTACACTAATTTTACTTCTGAAAATATGATATAATAACATATCATCTAAAAAAATGTGTTCTTAAAAATGAAGAAACAAAGCCTGAGAGTTACAAAAAGGAAGGTCTTCCTAATTTTGAAATGTTAATCTAAGCATAAAAATTTCTGTAAACGTCATTGAACAGATTTTTATTTTCCGATTTAACACACACATCTTTTACGAATCACTTCTCAATTAAAGATTAAAATTCATAACAGTTAATCCATATCAGTATTAAAATAGTTTTGAATTCAGATCATTTCGTAGTTATCGAAATTCTGTCATCACTATTTGCCGCGCGTGCTGGGAAAAAACGTGCGCGTTTATTCGTCGCATATTGTATAGATAATTCCTGAATTCCGGGTACTCCTGTCTTCGAATTCGAATCCCCAAAGATGTGGCCGCGATTTGGCATTAAAATTGGCAACAGCACGCTCTGCATCGCCCACGTGCGCGCCGATGGCAAGGCGGAGGTGATCGCCAACAAACAGGGCGACCGAGTGTCCCAGGCGTGCCTTTTATGGGACGGCGTATCGGAGATCGAATGTGGCCTTACCGCCAAGCAGAAAATGGCCACGCGCCCGCGTCAGGCTGTGGCCCACAGCTTCCAGCTGCTTCAGCCCAAGGAGCACCTCAACGAGGAGAAATTGGCCAGTGCGCTGCGCGAAATACCCTGCGGTTTTGACAAGGAGGAACTGGTGTTCCGCATGGAGCACACGGTACCCTCGGAAAAAGAAGATCAAGATGACCGGGTTGTGACCAAGGACCTCAGTGCCTATCAGGTGACGGTGGAGCTGTTGCGCGCCGAACTGGAGCTGGCTCATCAATACCATACGGACGGGGAGCAGGCGCCTATCGCCGTTCTCTCCATACCCAGCTACTATCCCGCCCCAGCTTACAAACTTCTAGCGGACGCAGCGAAATCCGCCGGATTTCACGTTGCCCAAGTTATTGCCGAACCCACGGCCGCCGTTCTGGGCTACAGCATTGGTGAAGAGCAAACGGAACAGCGCCGGCATGTTTTGACCATTAAGTGCGGAGGTCTTTATAGCGACATCGCGTTCTATGCTGTCCAAAACGGTTTATTTGTTCAGCTGGCCACTTTCGGGCCTTTCCCTATTGGAGGCCGTCAGTTCACCGAAGCTCTGGTGCAATTTATCTGCGAGGAGTTCCGCCGGAAGTACAAGCTTGATCCTCACGAATCGCGTCGCTCGCTTGCGAAGATCCGCACTGCCGCCGCCAATTGCAAGCACATCTTAACCACAATGCCCTCCACGCAACTTTATATCGACTCCCTGATGGACGGTGTTGACTTCAATGCACAGATGTCACGCGCCCGTTTTGAGAGCCTCATCCAGCCGGTCATCAACAACCTCCTCCAGCAGCTGAGCGAGTGTGTAGAGCAGGCGCAAAAGGAGCATCCGGGCTTGAGTAGCATAGATGACATCGTGCTGCTGGGCGCTACCATGCAGATCCCGAAGCTTCAGGCAGCTGTGGGAGCCCGTTTCCCCGATGCCAAGCTCCACAACAGCCATTCAGCGGACGAAGTAGTGGCCATCGGCTGTGCTCGCCAAGCTGTCTGCTTGATTGACCCCCTTGAACAGCAGCTTCACAAAGACGATGACTGTGTGGTGGCCGAGGATGATCTTTACATATGGCACGGAAATGATGAGGCCAACGCCAAGTTGGTTCTAAGCAGGGGTAGCGTACTACCCGCCAAAATACGGATAACACTGCCTCAATCTGAAGGGGGAAAGGGTGATGAAGAAGGCAAAGGAACCGCTTCATTTAAGCTGCGCACTGGAGAGAGCGAAATTCTGGCCAGCCTACCTGACAGCACTACGCCTGAGGATGGACTTTATCAGTTGGAGGTTGAGGTGGACCTGGAGGATAAGGACGGCAACGTGGTGCCGCTGGTGCGACTGCGCTGTATATGAGAACCGGAATCTACCCGGAAACCGGTGCGCTGTCGCCTAGTCTATTTATTGTTGATAGCCTAATGATTATGATACAAACCCAAAATAAAGATAAATAAGAGAGCGGCAAACGAAAACATGAGTGTATACTTAAATATTGTAACATTTTTATTTTCTTATCTTAACTTTTAAAATTATATATTTAGAACTGTAAATTTTCTGCCTTCTGGCTGCGTTCCAGCTTACGCAAAAACTCTTCAAAGACAACCACTCCTTTAAACATGCTAGTCTTCTTGTGATCCTTTATGCGGCTCTTGTCCTCCGGTGCCTCCATGGTACTCTTGCTCTTATCATCAAAAGCGTTAATCTCGTGAAGCAACTGAGTTATAGTTGGGACCGTGGTGGGATCAAATTTGGCAACAGCGCTTACGCTAAATGGAACACAAACCTTTCCCGTAGCTGGATGAATGCAAAAGGGGGCTTTCAGTAAATGGTTAAATCCTCTTGTGACGTTGATGTCCAGACGAGGATATAGAAGTCCAAGCTGCACTTCTTGCACTATATTCTTGAGCTTTCGGCTCCAGGCAGTTGACGTGGAGGTCCTCATAGAGTTGGCGTATTTCATGAAGCTTTCCCATACGAGTCGCGAGTGGGCTCCATCCTCCAAATTCTTTTGCAGATACGACTCCAATTCGCTCCGTGCCGAATCGTCGTGAACCATGTTTAGTAGTTTACTAACACCTTTGGGTGTGCCGAAAAGATTCTGATCTTCCAGCACGATCTCCTCGAACATAGGCTCCACCAACTTTAAGGCTCTTTTAAGGCTATGATGCGGTCGATCTCCCATTGGACATCTAGGTGAGTTACTACCCGAGAAGCTAACATATGATATGATGTTCAGATACTCGGCCACGGCAAAACGTCCACGTCCGTCCAAGTGACGAGCTTGATGATCGCATACCCAACAATGGATACCTCGACGACCTGAGAAAATCCAGATAATATGCTCAAAGCCGAAATCCTCACGTAGAGCAACATCCAAAATCCTGGCAGCCAGCACCATAAACTTCCAGCATTTAAGGCACACCCCCGCACCAGAGCAACAGGTGCGCACATCATCGTAATCCGTCATATCAATATCAAAGACTAGCTCACGTTGCACGGGCGTTAGTCCTCCTGGAACAGTACGATGGTTCTTGGGCCTGGTGTGCATCACTGGACCTATATCGATCTTGATAGGATTCCTCGAGCATATCTCTTTTTCCAACTCAGCCTGGTTGTCAAAGCACAGGTATCGTATATAAATATCATCCTGTAGAGTAAAGGAAATCTCTCGATTGCTGAACACGCCTTCCTCAACTAAAAAATAAGGAAACATTTTTATATATTTCATTAAATTATTTTGTTGCAACTTACCTAAACCATAAGAGAGCCACCGGTAGAAGGGCTGATGAGGAAAGAGTCGTCTGTAGTATACGGGAAGCATGTCCTGGAGAACCTCCGGATTATAGGCAGGCACAGCTGCCGTCTGTTGCTGCGGAGCCTGGTTCTCCTGATCCGCACTTTGCTCGGGCATTTTAAAGTACTGAAAACAAAACGGGTGTTCTATAGTTAAATACGAAAACTAAAACTGTTCTGGCCGTAAAGAAATCAAAAACATTTTAACTTCTTGTCGAAACCTTATATTTATATATTTTTTTGTTGATTTTTTTCTTTTTCAAAGAGAGATACACGATTGGAGCTTAAAGTACTGAAATATATATTAACGACATGCAATTGTTAAAAGTACGAGGCTAATTAATTGTCAGTTATGGGTCGAAACAAATCGAATCGAGCTAACACAATGGAATACCGTAGAATGAACCTGGTCAGAGAGTTCGTCCGATGATTGGCTTAGATTAAGATGGAAATCTAGGTGTATCATGTATATATATATATTACTATATAATATGTGTCTACTTTACGGCTAGGTTAGATCATTGTTGTAGCTTAAATATTAGAACACGCTAGGAGGGCGTTCCCTTGTTCAGCATCATGGAGCATCCAAGGGAGCCCAGTATTCCTCACAAATCTAGGCCACTGTGAGGCGTATGTCCTGCATTTTGTGCTGCTGCCAGGAGTGAGCTGGCTGCCTGGGAGGCGCCGTGTTGTATAGCGTTACAGAGGCGATGTGGCTGTTGGGCATCACCTCAAAGATCAGGTCCTGGTAGCCATAGCAAAAAGTGGAGCCGAAGGGATTAGCCGTGTTCGTCGAGCTGGCCCGATGCAGCACTACTGGCCGCTCCGAGGTGGCCAATGCGCTGCTTATCTCGTCCCACTTGGTGTAAGCGTTTATATTAACATGCTCTTGCTTCGTGGGCGTCACAAGATCATGACCACTATCGCTCATGGATGGGTGATCCGCCTGCAGCAGGAACTGAAACTCGCAGCGATGGTACATGTTAAAATTAAAGTGCCCGGGATAATTAGTGTGCAGTATAAACTTCTTGCAAGTCTGCGTCCTAGCGTCAAAAAGGACATCGATGCCCAGTGTGAAGTAGTTGAAGAAGATGTCGCTTCGCTTGCTTTGCGCTTGTCGGTTGACACTCGAGCTGTGTATCTTCATCTTATCCTCGCTTTTGAAGAATATACGATTGGGTGCACCCAGACTTGTGGCCACATCCTCGCAGCTATCGCCAAAAAGCAGTTCTCGCGTGAAACACTGTCGGCGTGGCTCCAAAGCTCTTCCTGAACCTTCAGTAAAGAGCTTCAGCTTCAGACCTTTCGTGTGTCCAAAGGAGGTGCGCAGAACTGTTGCCGATTCCAAGTACATCTGGCGGTGATAGCAGGCCAGCGGCAGAGATGGTGCCCTGTTCTCCGACACATTACTGCCCGCATAAAGGGACATCTTGGACACAACGGGCGAAGCGCCGTTTAAGAAAACCAGGGAACCCAGTCCATGTGCATAGCCAGAATGCAACTTGCTATCCACGGGGAAGTAAAAACTGAGCCCGCGGAAATGGAGAGCAAAGAGCTGCTTGGCTGCATCGTACACCCCAGGGTGGGTGGCTCCGAAAGAGTGCTCAATTTGCTCGATGCTGGGCAGCACCTCCGGGGAGTTGAAGTAGACACCGCCATATCTCAGCTTAACGAGCTTCATGTTAAACACCTCAATGGTCTTCAGACGCTGGATGACGGGATCGAAGATCAGGCGAACCCCATCCTGCGGCAGGTTAATGATGATATCCACACCTAGAGGATTGGTATCCGAGTATAGCACCTGGACTCCCTTGATGATTCCCACCTGCGATTGGATGATGGCAATGGCCTGCGAAAAGTGCATGCCAAGCACAAATTCCCAGGCATCGCACCCCAAAGAATTCTCAGGCAGGATATCCAAATCTAGCATCTTCACCTGGTTTTTCAAACGATTTCTGTTTGTTATTTATTGTTTGCGGCTGCGATTCGTCAACCTACTGACCTTGATATGTGAAATCAGCTGCGATTTGCGAATATATTTAAACGAATATATACGCAATTAGTGGCTGAGTGTATATGGCGTTATTATTTCAGCACTTTCTGTTTTTCAATTGTTTGTTCTTCAGTTCTGGTTTATAGATTGTTATGCTTTTGTTTATTTTTATGCAATTACGCAACGGTTATAAAATTGTTTAATTCGTGGGTATTCAACTACTTGTCGTGCCCTTTGGCGCAGCGATTAATTGTATTGTTTTCTTCTAAAAATTCGGACAAAGGCGAAATGCGCAGCAGAAAAAATGAGATAATAACAAAATAATGACGTTGCCAGATAGCCGCAGGCAGCTGATTTGCAAATTGCAAAACAAAAGGGTGTGGCTTTGCCACCGTAATAATATTATATTAAACTTAATTATTACTTATTATATGAAATCTAGTCAATAACTTTTGTATAAGAGTTACTTTAAAAATATTTCATGTTATTGCTTAATTTATTTGCATTATGTGGCAACGCTAGTTTACCATGCAACAGCTGATGATATATTTTCGCGCGCTTTTTATAAGAGAAAGAAACGGAGACTAAAAACTTACTTTTTGGATTAAACTGGAATGTTCTGAGCTATCCCGCACGTTTCTCTGGTTCTATACGGCCTTAAGTCTTCAGTTTGACACTTTTCCACTATTGTATGTGGTTAATTTGATCACAAATTTTAATTTTTTGTCACACAACTACTTGCAACGCTCCTGTCAATAACAAATATTTTTCACGACTACCTAATTGTTCGCTTTCCAACACTAAATTAACAGATTTTTCGATTTGTAAATATATTTGTTTATTTTACACCCCACTTTTCGCTTAATAATGTAAAAGACATATAAAACCATCACTTGCACCAAATTCCTATACTTAGACACTTTGGATTCCATTTTCAGGACACTTAAAATCGCATTTGGGGCAACTAAAACTCGCATCCGTTAAAACGTTGGCGCTCAAGCAATAATAACAATAAATATGGCCACAGCCCATGTGGTGAGGCAAAGTTGGTCGCTCCCCACAGAATGTGCAGGTTGTGCTTAAGGTCATCTGAGGGGCCAGGAACGGCACACCATCACCTCCAGTCTCCATTCGCCTTCCCGTAATCGCCTGACCAATGGCTGAGGATTTAATCACTCTTTGCAACTTACGGAAATTTATGATTGGCAGCACCAGGCCAAGGATTTCCTATAATAAAAGGCGAGACGTAAAGGAATAATAGATAATCTAGCCAACACCCACCATAAATCCTCCCCAAAGCAATTCCCTCGTCAGGTACTTGTAGCCTATGTCTCTCCTCTGATTGTTCCTAAGACTAATATAGTCCAATCCCAATAAGTAGTCCACCAGTGTGGGTTTCCGGCCCGTCTTCAAGAAGCGAAAATAGTTGAGGATATTTAGCACCAGGGCACTGTTCTCCGCCCACGTTATAGCCTGGCTGAACCACTCCACGCGTCGGGTTAAACGCCTCTCTTCCCAGCTTTTGACATAACCCGGCAAGACGGTCAAGACGAAGTGGAGTACCAACCGTGAAACAGTTAGCTTCTCAGCATCATAAGCCAGGACCAACAGCTGTTGGCCAAATGTGGAACAACGCTTGCCAACTGAACCAAACCAAATCGCGGATTGTATGAGCAAATCTAGCTCGGGTTGGATTTTGATGAACAAAACGGGCTGAGGGTTATATAAACTATAAATAGAACAAGTAAAGAGTTTTTTATATACTCACGGATATAGCCTGTAAGTTCTCTAGTAGATTATCTCGTATCAGTCGGGCTATGTCCTTGTTAAGATAAATAGCATCTATCTGGAAGGTAAACATGTCTCGTTTTCTCATTTTTAAGTCATGATTATCTCCATTTTAAGCGCACCTGATTTACACGTGGTACATATTTATTTTTCTCAAGCATTTTGTTTATATTTCTGCCTTTGGCTAGCTGTTCATTGAAATATTTTTAATTTATCTGTACTCTGCCCCTTCTTATCAACAATTTAATAGAGATGTCAATTATAAGGAGAACTCACTAACTATTATCGATATTTTATGCAGTGCTGGTAAACTACTTTAGGAGGCCGCGTAATTTTAAATAGTCCACCAAATAAAGATATTTGTTTTCTAATTTATTTGTAATTGAAAATCACTAATATATCAATTACCCTGACAGCTTAATGAAACTCCTGTTTTTTTTTTGGTATTTAGGAAGCATTTTCGTCCAACTTTTCAAATAAGTCTTATGTAATTTCAATGAAAACGAAACGAAGAACTCGTTTGTGAGCAGGAAAATGTCTCTAACGATGTTTGGTAATTTGTGGTAATCTTGCCTATTGCCGTTTACGTCTGGAATCACATAAACCAGTTGGTCAGTTAAGACATTTGGCCATTTGTTTGAGGAGTACAAGTTCAATGATTGGCCCCGGCTGCAGAAATTATGGTCAGTTGTCGGGTGAGTTTTGATTTTATAAAAAGTACATAATTCACACTTTATTACGCAATTTACAATTCGTTCGTTCGAGAAGACATAAGTATACATTACAGATTATAGATTAAAGATTACAGTTTACAGTCGAGTGATTGAATGGTAAATTCGTCTGAGCAGGTAGTGACTAAGGATCAGTTGAAAGCAGAAGATACACATAGAAGTTATTCGCTATCACAGAATAAAATACAATATACAAAATGTTAATGAAATGGCCATGGACACTTTGGAGCAAGAGTGCCCGGATGTGATCTATGGCCTGGGTGTGTGCTGATGTCCTAATTACGAGATATGAAGCTGATTCCATGGTCGATCGATGTGGATATGCTTGTCCCTCCTCCTAATCCTCATAATCCTCCTCCTACTTTCGGCTGATGAGCAATTTGGCTAACTCTAGTGCACAGTCAATCCTGGCTTAGTAATGGTGCTCGTGCAGTTCCTCATGGTGGTGCACTGGGGCGGTCTTGTGGACGACGGCGTTGAAACCATTGTGCTTGTCGGCGGTGTAGTCCACAGTGCGGATGGAACCATCGGGCTCCACCAGAGAGTACTGTCCCTTGACGGTGTCACCATCACGAGTCTCGTGCTGGGATTTCACATCTCCGGTGTGGAAGTCATTAACTCCGTATTTGAAGGCGTACTTGGGAGGGGCCTGAGGAATGATTTATAAATAAATTTTTGGTTTAGTGGGTTTGTGCTCCTTTTAATCCTACTTTCTGTACTCACATAGTAGTCCACATGTTCGTCATGTCCGTGGGATTCGTGGGTCTCATAGTGTGGCTCAGCGTGCTCGAGGTGTCCGTGTTCCTCACCCAGCGAGATCCGCTCGATCTGATGATGTCCGTACTCATGGACGGGCTCCGGTTCGTGGTGGGCCAGGTGTTCATAGCCATGGCTTTCCTCGTAGTACTGATGCTCCAGCGGATAGGCGAGGCTCAGGCATAGAGCCGAGGCGAAGATCAGATACTGCAAGATCAGATATGAAGGGTCATAATTAACAACGTGGCTTAGACCTCGACTAATTGTTTCCGTTGTAGGAGTATGGAGTATGCAAGTGCTGCAATTAGCGCTGTCTGCATTGAGTGGGTGGGAAAGTGAGGGGCCATCTACGGGCCACCGACTGTCTCTATCCATGTAATGGCTGCTTTTAAGGAAAATTTCTGAGGTTTTTCGTTGGCTGGTCTTAATGAATTCACAATTAAGACTTTGCTGTGGTTGACTGACGCTTGTGTTTGGATTTACGTTTAGTGGTTTCTTTGTGGTTTACTTGCTGGCGGTAAATATGGTGGTTAACTCAGAGGGAGTTTTATTTAACTAACGCAATTACTTAAGCTGGAGCTAAGCTGGTTGCCCAAAAGATTACCTTTTTGTTTGTATGATCGTTTCTTTGTGGTTTCATTTTAATTTGTATACAATTTAATTCATTTTTGCTAAAGGACTAACTTTGTTAAGATAGTTATCGAGTCTTACTACTAGTCTTGATACATGATCCTTTTACTACAAAAGCCCTATTTTAAGGTTTTGCTTTTGAAACTCAAAGTGAAGTTTCCTTTGAAATTGAAAATATTATCCCTATCCTAGCATTTCCTCTTTTTATAGACCGTTTATTGTTTCATTTTCTAATACAAATTTATTTTATTCAAATAATTAAAACTCAAAAACAACTTCACATCCTAAGATTAATATCCTTTTACGAACGGTGCTATTTTAAGCCACACTTTCAATTTCATTCACCACCAGTTCACTGAGTTTTCAGATATCACTAGATCTTATTGCCATATCCTTCAGGATAATTTTTTTGTACAGTTTATTGTTCACAATGGTTATCCTTAATCCTTGGCTGCTGCTGCTCACCTTGAAGGCCATTTTAGTTTGAATTTGAATTCGCGTTTTGTTTGGAGATCACTAGATGACTGCACGCAACGACTTTTCACCACTGAATAATGTGGTTGCAACGAAAATGTGCTGCTTTTATATGGTTAGGAAGAAAGTGAATCGGCTAGACTGGCAGCGGTGTTTCGGTGGATCGGCGGTTCAAGCAGCGGCGGTTCGAGCAGCGACGTCGCTGTCTTTGGTGAGCGGATGGTCTCTTGAGCCAAATGTAAAACAGTTCAGATGTGTTTGTTGTTTGCCATTGTTTGGAGTTTGATGTTTGCTGCCCAGTTGCACTTAGAATAAAAGTTTAGATATCAAATATTGAAAAGAGTCATTCAAAATCAAAAAGGTTGAAAACATCTCACAAACAATGTCAGTGTTTTAAATCTAAAGCAAAGATAAACTTTATGACTTACATTTTAAAAATTTTGTAATTGGTAAAACTTTATATAAAGTTTATTCTGATCTACCGATCGATGTTTTGTCGAGTGCCTGTTGTCCAGGACTCTTTTTGTGTCATTAGCGACGCATGCGATGGCGTTGATAAGTCGTCATCGCTGTTGCTGATCGGCAGTTGCAACATTGCAACAACTTTACTGACAGCCCCAGTTCGAGCTGAAGTTTGTTAATAATATTTCGGTATTTTCGCTTTGGTAAACTGCCAGCCTATTTGCATTGCAGGTCTGCATTGTTGCTCAGCAAGTACGCTCATTAAACGCAGTTTGACCTAAATTTCAGCCTGATGATTTTCGTGGCTGCTGCTGGGCAACTCTTTTTTTTTTTTTTTGGGGCAACCTTCTATTGCGGCTAGCCTCCGGTTAATCGTTTACTTTTAATGCGCTGATTTTCGTAAATGGTAAATTGTAAATTGAATTGTGACTGCAGGCTGGCCCAATAAAAGGCAATTTTGTAATATTTAATTGTTAGACATAAAACAGAAGTTTCGTTCGCAGCACTTTTGGGGGTCCCATATACTCGGTCTGCCCTGTACTTTAAGTCAAAGTTAAGTGCCACAATTGCGTTAGAAGAAAATTAACCAATGCTTTTTGTGTCTTTCGTCAATTTGCGATTGGTTGGCGCTAATTAGGCAGCGAAGCGTGGAATTTTGTGATTTGAGGGTTCTCACCTCGAAGGCTGAGTCAGTCGTTTTGTTAAATGCATTTAAGTGACACAAAAGTGTTTTGTTATATGGCTAGATTTGCAGTTTATTTTGTTTTTGTTTTCATGGCAATGCATTTTTATTACTTAATAAAGATCTAATATTTATGTTATTATTTTCATGAATTTTCGCTTACAATTTATAATTAATATTTTTTCACTGTTTTAAAGAAATTCCTTAAAATTTTCTCACCAAATTCGCACCATACCTTCGAGTTCCTGCCCATCATCCACTCGTTCAACTGATTCCCATCTTGGTAATCTAGTTCATCGGCAAGTTGTTTGGCAATAACTCGAAAATTACTTGGATTTGGATTTCGTGCCGCTTTGCAGCAAGCACTTTGCATAGCCCCGATTCACAGGCTCTCTGCCGGAGCAGCCATAAATCCAAGCCAATCGAAACAAAACGAAACGAAATGAATGACATCGGGTTGATGTACTCTTAAATACAGGCACAGTTTTAATTGCTATATTATGGTCGACAACGTTTGACAACATTGCAAGACATGACAAACCGAAAAGCAGTGGATAAAAACAAACATATTTTCACGATGATTACCAATCCAATAAGCGGCAAATCCCGATGCAGTACAAAAAAAAAATATGGCAAATAAAATAAATGCTTAATTATGGCCCATGATTTGGGGTCTACGTCTGCTTGTTTTCTTTTTCTCTCCGGCGAGCGTTGGCGTTGCGGCAGGTGGAAAAAATAACGCAAGTCAACATGCCACACACTCGACAAACGGCTAAAGTCTCCTTTGTGGCATTCCAAATGCACATATAGTCACGTACCACAATGTATCTGCCTCAGCATTTGGCAATTCGACGAAGCGCTGTAAATTGAACGCATTGCTGATACAATTTTGAGCTCTGATTTTGATTGCTTTTCGAAGAAGGTACATCGAATATGTCAGTAAGTTTTAGATGGAATTGATGAAATACTATCGTGATATAGTTCTGGTTAAAATGGGGTGAAGGAGGCATATCCAGTATAGTCTTTTACTTACTTTTTCCCTTAAAAATAAACCTAAGATTCATTTATATACGAGTATTCAGCATCAGCGAGTTTCCAGTGATTCTGGAATTGCTTGTAGAACCTTAACTTCTAAATTAATAACTCTATCGGATACAAAATTAAATTTAAAGTGTATTTAACTTTTCTTATAGATTTACCATTTCCCCCATTCTTCGTTTTTGTGATATGCAACATTTGTCGGTTGATTTCGCTGCTAGTTATCGGCTCAAAATTTTTTATTTTTCCTCGCTGTCGTCGTAATTGCACACAAAATTTTCATTTTGTTTACTCTTCTGGCCTACCCTCCCGCTCGCAGTCGCTGGCCAGCAGGTGTTAACTTTTGGTTAGCTATAGTTTAGATTCGCTGGTGTTTTTTTTTTTTGTTAGATTTGGTTTGGCTAAAATGTGGCTTACTTTTACCCAGAGCGTTTGGCCACTCAATCAATTCCCACTCACAAAAGTGAAAAGTCAAAACGCTACTCGATTGCTGTGTTGTTGGTGGATTTGTTGGTTATGCGCATGCGCGCATGTAACAGCTGCAGGTAAGCAGACCAAGCAATTACCTAGTAACTCATATTTACCGTTAGACATTTAGTACATGCATTAACTTGGCCAAAAGTAGTTGAAGTGCTCCTGCTGCCGCGACCAACGCTAAAGCCAAAGCTATAGCTATTTCTGGTGTACATTTGCGACATCGGCCAAACAAAATAAAACAAAAGCAATGGAAAAAAGTTTGCTACACAGAAAGAAAGGTATTGTAAAGTTCATTTATTAATTTTAATTTATTTATTAATTATTTATTATTATTTTTTGACAAGTACAAGGGATAACAAGTCTTAGATTCTCAATATCTACTAGAAAATAATCTGAATCTTATTTATTTTGTAATAGTTTTTGCTATTTTCAATTTTATAGCAATATTTAAATAACCCAATATCCATAAAACGTTTTTAAAATAAAAAAATCAATAAATATTTCTAACCAATTGAAGTAATTATTTTTTTATGTGTACCTCAAGCGATCGTTTGGCAAACATACAACAACAATGCCTGGCAATCAGCAGCCAACTTTGACTTTTGTCTCATTGTTTCATATTTATTAGAGTCCCGGCTGAAAACCTTACAACTCAACAGGCCAGCGACGCGTGCATCTTTCCAAAATTGTTGTGGGAATTGGCTTTGGGTTTAGTTTTTTTTTTTTTGGCTACTGCCGTTGTTGCTCTTTTAATGGTTATCCTTTTATGCGGCTTCGACTTACGCAACCAAAACGGCAGCGATTGCGGCTGCTGTAATTGAAAATAACATTCGAGGAGCTCCAAAGTGCCAGGGCATCCCAAACGCATTCAATTACAGGCAATTTATATTAATTTATTTGTGGGCAACGCGAATTTAACACGAATTTACTGGAGACTGGTTGGCTTGGTCTCGTAGCAACATGTGCGTGGTATCAAAGAAAAAAGTAAAGAAAATGTGAGAAATATATATGGCTAATTGCCAGCGCACATTGAACTTAAAAGTGCAAAAAGCAAACGGACAGCAAGTTGCTGCAGTTTTCCTCTATTCGATAGTATGCATCAGTCACACAGTGCGTATGAGCAATAAAATATTTCGGGGTGCCTTGGAAACCAGTTAATGACCAGTCAGAGAAACCATCATCACCCATTCAGTTGACACTATGGCGGGAAATAATTAGGTGTAAAAAGCCTCAGTCTTACAATGTCTTTGGTAAATATTTATAAGGTGGTTGAAATTAAGGACATTCGATTTGGTTAGTTTATTAAACAAATATAAACAACAAATAGTTGTTGGTTTTATTACACAAAATTAGATAAGGAAATCTGAAAAGTTTTTCAAATATAAGCATATATATGACTTTTGCCTGGTGTAACTTGTTCAAGACTTAAATTTATCCAAATTTTTGGTTTTTAATCTTTAATGTTTCTTTTTTTTAGGGTGGTTTTTAACCAATTTAAGTAAAATTATACTTCAGCACTTCAAAAAAAAATCTAACGCTGTTTGAAAAACTGATTTATTAGAATGTCTTATTAACCCCATGACGCCTGATTAATCCCTGTCGGCTTCGATTAGCCATTCTTCATTATCCAATAGCATCCACCCGTCATTGCCGTCAGCTTTGATTATGCATTCCGTGATATAACTGCCGTCGAAGCATAATCTGAAAAGCCTTTCAACGGTAACAAATAATATTCACTTGAATTTGGTGCGGTAACAGCTGGGGCAGTCGCCCCGGCAATTGCACCCGCCCCTTCTGGTACCGCCAGACAGTCGACTTCTGCCGCGGGTCTTAGGCTACGGCTGCTGGCGTTGACATAATAAATAGCTGAAGAAATTAATTAAATGCAAATTGCCAAATCACATAATCATATCATATGGCAGCTGGGACAGTCGAGCGACACTCATTTTCGTTTTCATTTTCATTTTCCAAGATTTTCCAACTCTCGTGTGTGTAGCAAGATGCGGAAAAAGACGAGAGTGCCAAGTCTTGTTCAGCACTAACAACAGCAGCAGCGGCGACGGCCGCGGCGTCCGTGCAATTTTCCAATTGATTTTCTTACAGCTCTAATTGTATCATTGACTAATCAAAATATTTAAGCTTTGCATTCACAGGCCCGTGGTAATTGTTAAATATTTTAATTTCCCTCCAAAGTGCCACTGCCATTTTCACACATCGAATGTTGAGTTGAGGAAATCGGGCGGCGTGTTTTTCCCATGACGACTTCCTTGGACTTTCGAGTGGCTCATTAATTAGGCGCCAATTGAATGTGTCTCCCTCTCGCTCACCCCACCATTTCCTACAGTGAAAAGTGATTTTCCCGAGGAGGAGACGAGTACTACTGTTGCAAAGTAGGTTAAATACTTTTACCTTATTCCGTAGCCGGCTAATTGCTGTCATTTTTGGCGCAGCTTTGTTTTTCCTGCTGCGGCTGCTACTGCCGAGCAGAGATGGCAACAAATTAACAACTTTTCAAGCTCGCCCGAACCGGATATTATGAAATTTTCCAGTTTCGAGTGCCATATCGAGATTATAAAATGGTTAAATTTATGCAACCGCCTGGGGGCCTGGAAGGCAGGACGAAAAAACCGGCTGCAGATCCCCTAATCAAGTTGTCAGCTTGGACATATTTTCATGCCTCCCTCCGCTCTCAAATATATTTCATTTTATTAGTTTATTTATGAGCTTGTCGCCGCAGGGACAACGCCCGCCATCTCAATGTTAAGTTTAAGTGCAATTGCTACTTGAACGCGGCCCACTGTGCGGCTACGTAATGCAGTAACATTACGTATACGTCACGCCCTAACCGAAATATAGGAGAAAATCATAAACACTTTCACAGAGCCCCTTCTCAACGGGGTGGTGGTGGTTGTGGTGCAAGACGATTGCCTCAGCAATTAGTTAATGACCGAATATGTATGCCGAAAAGAAAGAAACCGAACGCAATGAATTGGAATGGAATGGACTGGGCATAGTAGCAATTAAATTAGCATACAATAAAACAGCCGAGTGCATATGAAAGTTTGCCAGAGTTGGGATTACCAGTAAAGATATGAGCTAAGTCAGGATCTAATAAGTGAGCTATATCTATAATATATTCCATTAAGAACAAGCTACGAATAACTTATAAGATCTATATCCTATTTCCTATGGTCTTTAGCCTTTCCTTAACGAATGAGATTCAATTTCCAGTCATCTCAGTGAAGCATAAAAGTGAATGTACAAGATACAAATTCGTGGGTAATAAATCCACACAGCAAATAAAAATCGGACTATACAAATGTAAAATGCTAAAAAATAACAAATACAGTTTTAAAGTGCTTGAAGTGCACTTTTGGCAACGAAATTTCGCAATCTACGAAGAGTGTGCGTGCCACAAATTAAAGCTGCCGCAATAATGGAATAATAAATCAGCATAAATATGCATCGAACAAGATATATGAGAAGAGAGATGGAGAGAGAGAAATGGCGTGGAAAGCGAAAACGATAACAGAAATCAAAATGCATTTCGCATTTCCTTCCGTTTTTCATTTCTTCGACTTTACCTCAACTTGGCTTTTGCCATGGAAACGCATTTGGAAATTTGGAGCAATTAAATGGCAAAACATTTACACTTGACTGCAACGTGATCCGACCAATGGCTTCCTGAATGGGGGGAATATCCAGTTGAAAGTGTGCACCCAACCCAATCCAACCTGTTGTGGGCGACACAAATTAACCTACAGAGACTTATATTAAAAAAAATGAAAACGAAACTTCAAAGGCGGCAAGCGATTTAGATTGGGATCAAGATGCCGAAGACTCTGGCTGCACCATTTTGGCACCCGGAAGATTTTTTCATAAAAAATACCACAGATACTCGGCGCCTTTTATTGCAGCCTCAATTATGCTGTTCAGTGTGTGGAATTCTTTTGTTGCTCTTTTTTTCTGTGTCTTTATGGCCAAATTGTGATCACATTTTTATGGCCAAGGTATCGGCGAAAGACGTGGCGAATAAAAAGTGAAAGAAGCTTACCTAATAACTGGTGCAGGGATTGCTCTTGTCTTAACTAATATTGGTTACGTGCAGAGACCGAAAAAATTTAACAACTTGCAATAGAAAATCAAATTATTTTTCAATATAAAATAAAAATTTAATTTTTAACTTGATTCCATTAGCCACCTCTAAAAAAAGACTATTAAACTTTTACATTTTTATTTCCTTTTTACAAAGAAACTACGATTTTTCATTGTGTTGTTGTAAGTAAAGGGGAGGCTCTTTCATATTTCTTAAACAAAAAACTTAAACATTTACTTTGGTCTGGTGAAACATTTTCAAACATTTACTCTGGCCTGGCCTCACTTAGGTTGGGTAAATTGGCCAGGAATTCACGGCGATTTGCCTCAATGGTTCGCTGTTGCCAATTTGCATCGCTTGGACTGCTATTGACCAGTGGCCTGGGCGGCGGTAAGCTAGTCTTCGTCTCCTCGACTTGGGGAGCCTTCTCGGCATTGTTGGTTTTGGCCCTGTTGTATTTGGTACTTTCCGTTCTCTTGGGTTCTGCTGTGATGGCCTTGATGGTGGTTTCTTGATCCGCTGGCAATTGAAAGGGAGCTATGGGAAATTGCTGGGGTATTAGATTCTGAACCGGCTGAACCTTTGCCGGGGCCTTGCCCTGAATCACATCAAGCACCGCTGGCTTTAGAACATCCTTGGTCACATCGATATGGTTGAGATCGAGACCATGTTGTTCTTTCAGCTGCTGGGCGACATGATCTGCCACATGGGAGACGCTCACGTTGAGATGACTCTTGGGATCCCAGGTGACATTTGAGGGAGATTCTGTTTTGCTTCTCTCCACCAGGATATCGGGTCTTTCGGTTGGCCAAACGGATTTCACCTTCTCATCACCCGCCTTAAATGTCTGTATCTTGGCAGAGTAGCCATCATCTTTATCGGCTCTATAATTGGTTACTTCAATGCGGCCATCGGGTCTTGCATACCCAAAGCTGCCTTGGATGCTGCCATTCGCAAAGCGCTTTTCCTCTCGGAACTGAGAGTTTTTTGTTTGCGGATCATCGACCTCATAGCCGAAGGCATAGGTATTGGGACCTATTAACAAAGTAGGGCATTAGCTAGGAGATGTTTCAGAAACTAAATGTATAATATTGCCTACCGTAAGGCTCGTGCAGAAAATAGTTTCTCACTTTGGCTTTTTCACTTTCATTTTCAGCTCCGGTCTTGTGGTATACTTCGTTGTTTGCTGGTAATGGAATGGACAACGCGGCGTATACTTTTGTGATCAGTACAAAAATCTGCTGGTGAAAAAGAGTTTGGTATATATTAGGGCGTAATGTTGTTTTAGCGGAAAAGTAAGAGCTTGTGAAGCTTAAAAAAAAGCTGAATAATACGTTTTAGTTGTATAATTTTAAATATGAAGGAAATGTTTTAAGTTGCTCCTTCATTGTACTTCTCATTTTGTATACTTGTTAGTATTTTAAGGCTTTAACATCAAGTCTTAGAAAGATTACACGCATAACTTTAAAGATCGTACCAAAAACAATCTCTCATATAACAATAAATACGTAAAAGTGTATATTCTTCGTTAATAATTGTGTTATTCCTTTTCACTATTTATTTAATTATTTAATGGTTATTTTATGAATATTATAGATTTATTTGTAACTTGTTTAAATATATAAGTTTTCCCAGAAGTAAAGAATCACTTCGTTTAATAAAAAAAGTCACATGTTTCTTTACTTTCACTTCGAGAACCTTTTAAAGTCAAAGAACTTTAAATCGCTTTTTATTATTCACATTTTCTAAATTCCTGAGTTCCAAAAATCATTTGCTAGTTGCCTATTCCTACGCACTTACAAAGAACCAAAACAGTTTCGACGAACATCCCATGATGAATTCTAATGATCTTCTCCTATAGATCAATCACATTTATTATTGCGATTTGATTTTATTTTTGACCGATGAGTTCCGCGTACTTTCGATGGCAAAGACAGACTGAAGAGCCGAGAACTTAAAGCAAAGAAAGAGAAGCCCTCCAGGTGGGTGCAAATCCCCATTAGGAGTACTTTGCCAGAATGCTAAGTAATTTTCTCAGGTTTTGTTCTTTCTTATGCTTTATAATATATAAAGGTTATAATTATGGCCACTCCATGTTAATCATTGCGACCTTCGTTGTAATTTTAGAAAACCAAGCCAAGCCAAGAAAAAGATAGATATTTTTTAAATATGATTTTTTATTTATTTTTTTTAAGTTTTTTTCTTTCTATTTCCATAATAACGTTTTCGCATTTCGTTTGCTGTTTGCTGCTGTGGTTGTTCTCGTTGTTTTTGCATACAAATGTTTATGGGGAGTATATAGTACATAAGTGTAAGACTCAAATGAACCTTTGAGACGTGAGAGACATGTGAGAGTTTGTTTACTTTTCATTTATCCTCCTAATTGAGTACAATGTTTATTTATTTTTTTGTTGCTTTTTTACGTATGTCTTTTCTTCGTTTGTTGTTTATAATTAAGCTGCATAATTGTTTATAAATACACAATAAATGTGAACAATACTAAATGCAAAAAATGAAACTAGATACAAAGGTGTCAGACTGAGAGTGAGTGAGTGAGTGAGAGATATAACGATAGAGAGAGAGAGAGAGATACAAAAAGATAGAAAGTCGGTGAGTGAGATGGGTGAGAGTGGAAGAAAGAGGCGGAATGAGGTCACGAGGATAACAGCGGGGGAGTTCTAAGGTACTAGCTACTAATGCACAATGACCGGCCCATCACCGGCAAATCTTCTGCCCTCCAAGGATCACTTTGCTTTACAGATCCTGTCAAACTTTCAGCCATCCCGCAATGGCACACAATTTAGCACGCCCACCGTTGCTCTCAATGGGGCGTGGCAGTTTAAGGATGCTGGCCACAGTTTGACAGTAACTGACAAAAGGCTTCTAAAGGAGATAGGTAGAGAAATAGAAAATGTATAGCATAGAAGAGAGAGAGAGAGAGAGACGGTCATAAATATATTACAAAAGTTGAGCATGGGAAAAGGATGGAGCTAATAAGCGTATAAATAAAGTTCTATGTACAGAATGAGGAGAAGTCCCTAGAGAAGCCTTTGTTATCCTTAAAGTGGATTTTTCTGGGCTCTGCGTGCAAAAGTTTGCCAGCGAAATCGGTTCTGGTTAATCGTACATACATATATATATATATATACAAACAAATAAAACATATATCGAGCGGAAAAACTTGTCACTCCAATTCCGATTGTTATCCTTTATGGGTTCATCATCCGCGATCAAGTCATTCCGAATGCCAAGTCGTTATGAATTTCTGTTTGTTTACTGTTCGGTTTTTTTCCTTCGTCCTTGTGCCATGCCAGGATCAGCCGGGTGCCGGGACACGCCCCCTAAGGCGGCCCCTGTCTACTAAACTCTTAGCTACGCTTACTTACAAAAGAATTTTCATTTTCGTTGATTGTTTTTGATTTTTTTTTGTGGTTTTTTGTTCGTTTTTCTGTTTGTTGTTCCTATGAAGTTTCTGTTTGTGGATGGATGAGAGCGAGAGGGAGAGCACCTTGGTGACTAAGTCAGGCTCCCGCTATTTAGTAATGGTGCAGCAGGGGGGCGTGGGCCAACACGGGGGCGGCATGCAGCACGGGCGCATGGGCGATGATCTTGGTGGGGGCGGTCTTGTGGACGACGGCATTGAAGCCGTTGTGATCGTCGGCGGTGTAGTCAACGGTGCGCACCGAACCATCGGGCTCAACCAGGGAGTACTGGCCTAGAAGTAAGGTAGTTAAGATGGTGTAAAAGGGTTAAAAATAATTATAAATGTGTTAAATCTTATTTTTATAAGGAATATATAGCGTATATATACAAAATGATGAGTTGGCTTACTAACCTAACAACCGAAAAGGTTAAGTGTTTTTTTTCATACAATAAATGTCGCAAAGGCTACTTTTATCATGAAATTAACACTGTTTAATGGCTACTTTCGCGTTTGAATGTCTTAATTATGTTTAAACTCTGACTATGAAGTCATTTGTTTAAGTAAATTAAGGTCAGTCTTGTTATAAATATCTCACATCCTCTATAAGTCAACATAATGCTTGTGCAAGTTCGTTTCCTAAGTCTTAATGCTTCAGTACAATTTTTAAGTTCGTTTCCTAAGTCTTTTGATTTCTTTGAATTTATTCTAAGTTGAATGATTTTTATATTCTTCTTCACTATTTTAAAGTAAAAAAAGTTTAATGGACCCATCGAACACTTACCCTTCACCACATCACCATCACGCTCCTCAGCCTGCGACTTGATATCTCCAGTGTGGGGATCCTTGATGCCGTAGTTGAAGGAGTATTTGGGATAGGCCACTGGCTCGGCGTGGACGGCATGGACTGCATGGGACAGGATGGGCGCATGATGCACCAGCGCCGGAGCGTAGTGTCCCAGCTCAATGGGAACAGCCTGAGCGGCGGCGAACAGCAGAGCGATGGCAACAAAGTACTAGAGAGTGGAGAAGTGAGCATCAGGATCGGGGATTCACTTGTATGGGACTTTTGATTGGGTTAGGGATCGAGCACACACCTTCATTTTAATTATCGAGCACGAACGGCAGAACGGACACACGACGCGAACACGTAGCTAAAAACAAGGACGAAGGACGACTGGACGTTGATTCCTGTGAAGGAGGCTGTGAGGAGAGCTCGAGTGAGTAAGGACCGTTAAGAGCACGAAATCGTTAGCTGAACTGATGTCTGCAACGATGACCAAAAGTATTTATATACGCGTCGGACGCCGACGACTGCAACCCGACCAACGACGATTGGAACGAACGAACGATGGCGATGCAGCTGTGCCACCAAGTGGATTGGGGTGGGTGGTGGTGGTGATGCCGGGGGAGCCAGATGCCAGTTGCCAGTGGTGCAGTAGTACCATACCACGCATGTGCCACAACAATGATCCCCAGTTGTACCCCCCTCTTACCCCTTCTTTAAAATCTGTAGTTAGGTGCGGCATTTGTTTCTTGGCCCGAGAAGGCGTTCGGTGACTTAGTTTCGCTGACTGTTTGTCTGCCTCTCGCTGATGACGGCGCTGCAATTGAAAGCGACACTTTTGCATTTGCTCTAATGATCAAGGCTCTTTATTTATTGATTTGCCGACATAATTACGATCGTTTCGGGTCCGCAAAACTTGGCCGAAAAAAATATTATTACCATATCTGTGGCAATCAAACAGGGCGTCGTTATAATTACCACGCCAACACCAACGCCACACAAACTTGCGTAGTTTTCATGCCACGCAATTTGTTGCCTGACATTTTTGCGCCCGATTTCAGTTTGTTATTTCCACGATCTGGAGAACTGTGAGCGGAATTTCGATGTTGGCAAATAGTTTGACTTGGCTAAGCAAATCAAACGCGGCTCAATCAATATTACCAAAGGCATGAGACAAATGTTTGTCGCCAAGATTTCGGAAAATGATAAATTTAAGATGGAATTTTGGACTAAAAGATTGTTGGGAAATTCATAAAAATATTATACAAGAATTTATTAGACTTTTTTAAACTGGAGCTTGTCGCCGCGACTTTGAGAAATAATAACTACTAGATGGAATTTGACTAATAGTTTGTTGGGCAATGCAAATAAATATAAATAAAAAAGCTAAATTAATTTATGAAAGATTCTAAGTTTTTAACTTGTTTTTCGTAGATATTGCTTTTGGATTAAAGTTGTAAAATTATTATTATTTTAGCAAATGCAATCTCCCTTACTTACTATAGTATTTAACACTAAATAAACCAAAAGGTTTATCTCCCACTTCTTCCCATTCGATGCTTGCTCAACTCCTAAAAATACTTTTTTGACACTTTTTCAGGCTACACCCACCACAAACAGAAAACCGCTCTGGCATGACATATCAGAAAATTATGATTGTATCTTATAAAACACACACAAGTGGCCATTAAATAAAGACAAACAGCCGAGGGATGAGGCGGCCAAAGGGGGACGCTGCCTGCCGTCTGAGCGAACGATGGGAAAAAAACCCCAATGTTCGTTTGCTAGGTGCAAAAAGAGTTGGCCAAAGTTAAAACACAGCAAAAAAAAAACTAAAATCAAGACAACCAACAGATACTCAGATCGCACTATAAGAGATCACTTTGGAATGGGCCTGGCCATTAGCATGGAAAGCGAAGACAAAGACACAGAATCGACTTACATAAAACGGCTTTAAAGGCGACACATTTACACGGCTGGCCGAAAATCGCTCGAAACAATTGCCAACTCGCCGGAGCCACAAACAAAACAAAAACAAAAAAAAGAGTCCGGGCCAAACAAGTTGGCCACGTCACGATCGCACTTTGACAGAGCCAGGAGTTGCAGGGGTTCGGCTTGGATGTTAGATGGTTAGTTGGTAACTTGGTTAGTTGGTCACTGGACAAGACAGTTGGAAAATCGCAAAGACTACGACAAGCTTTGTCTTTGTCTGGATCGATGGTTGCGCAACGGCACCGCCAAGCGACATTGCCTGATCGATCGAATTGTTTTGCATGCGTTAATTGCACTTGTCCACGCATATCCATATCCCCCCCCTCTTCTAATCCGCCAAGCAAATCTGTAGATTTGCACACTTAACTTGAGATTTATTATATTTACGGGGCACGGTCTGTCGATAACTAGAACAAACATTTTATCTTGATTTATGTTCTACTATTTGGCAGTTTGTTTGCCTATGTTTGGACAATGGCTTGATGTGGGAGGGCGGCAGTTGAGGCGGGGCAGTGGAGGTTAATGGATCAGTTGAACATTTAAACGCACTTTGCATTGGTTTTGGTAAGCTGAGTGCTGGTATGTGGGGTATATTGATTCTACTAAGACTAAGTTTTTTGCATAAAAAAGGTTTGAAATGTTTTTTTGTTTAATATTTACTTTTAGAATATGTATAATTTGATTTTAACTATTTTCAATTTTATATAAAATTTCCCTAGTGGTCACCTCTTATTCGATCCATTTACTCTGATCGCCTTTTTATAAAATTTACCCATTGGCTTAAATGACTTGACAGTTATAGATTTGTGGCTTGATTTATGCAGTGGACAAAGCGCTATTTTGTTTCTTTCGTGATTGAGACTTGAAGGTCTTTTGGCTAAGGCATTATCTCCAGCTGGACAATAGCCCGAGGTGGGTACCATTAGAAAGTGAGTGCAGTGAACATTCAACGCAATGTGATCCAAAGCATTGCACAACGCTGCGTATGCGTAACGTGACATATCCGTTTGACAACTTCCACAAAGATCACATCCGGTGGATATTACATAATCCCAACACTTCCGATACCCTCCGAGGATTCAATTACACCCAGTCATCGTATGACTTTGTTTAATTAAAACATTTCCAGATTAGGGGGATTCTTGCACGTCCGAAACGGACGCATGCTAGCCATGTTTAGAGGATTTCTTTTTGGTCTTTAATTCTATGCCGCAGGGGGAAGGCAAATCCAGGGGGGTTATTAGTGGACCATAAGTTGGCTGTCAATTAGCCCGGTCCGGTTAAAGCCGTCAGCCCAATTTTGTCGCCGGCTCAATTGTGAGATTACCGACGCCAACTTGGTCAGGCTGCCTGGCATTTCGGCATTATTACCGCATCGCTGCTGCTGCTGTTGCTGGCACAACTTGATGTCGTTTGATCCACTTTCGAGTCTGCTCTCTGCATTTCGCACATTTAATGCGATTTTGCGCATTTGCGCGTTTGAAATTAAGCGAGTGACGAAATGGTACCACCAGCCAGGCCAAAGTGGATCACGCATACTGGGAGGAAAATAGATTTTCCAAGCTTGCAACAAACTTGCCTGTCCATCGGACCGCTTGATTGAGTCCATGCGAAAATGAAAATGAAAAAGAAAACGAGATCGAAATTGAATCAAAGTCGAAGTCGGGCTCCACTGCAGTCCAAGTCGAACGCACACGCTTCACCAGACCTGGCCGATATACTCGTGTGTATATATATCCCACTTAACGTCGATGTTGATGTTGTGGTTGCGTAAATATCTCCTCTCTGCACCCCTTAACCCCGATGAACTGGCGACATAAGCTCGCCAGATATTTCAATTAGCGATTTATTTAGATTTCTTACTCTTTTGGCACAGGAGCTTCGGGATTATGCAAAGATATCTAACTCCGAGCTGTATTATGGTTTTAACTATTGGGTTTATGAAGGATATAGTCAAGTATAATACGCCTATAAAATGTTTTGTAAAAAACCCTGTTAAATAAAGCATTTTTATGAGTGTAGTAAAAAGCGGCTAATTGAGTTCAGTGAATGTCTTAAATGGTTGTTACACATTTTAAGTTATTTTGTAGTCACCAAAAAGTATTTTAAAGGGTATATTTTTGTTTTATCACAATAACTGAAAATTAATTAATTCATACATATTTTAATACTCCTTTTAGTTGGTTCTGAATTGCTCTTCTAGTAATCCTCGCTGCTGGACTCCTCCTGTTGACTGTGAGCATCTGCTTCGACATATCCTTCCTCGCTGCTGCCCTCGTACTCCTGATGATCACCACCTTCTTCACCCTCCTCACCTTCTTCATCCTTCTCGCCCTCTCCGCCGCCCTCATCGTAATCTTCGTGCACCTTGTATTGACCAGGTGCTGCTCTATGTGGCGCCTCCTCCTCCTCTTCCTCCTCCTCATCCTCGGCACCCTGAGCCTCGGAGCTGTCGTGCGTCACCTGGTTGTCCATTGTTCCCCCACCCGCATCACCATCGGATCCATGGCCGTGCAGAGTTTTCACACCGTTCGTAATAACCTCAGCTTGAAAGCCGTTGGCGTCGTCGGCCGTGTATTTAACCACACGCAAGGTGCCATCCGGATCGACTACGCTGCGTGGAGGCCGTGGAAAAAGAAACAAAATTAATTCAAACTGGGATTTAATGCATGTACGGAGGTGTGTAATTGGTGTTTAGCTGGTTTTTATTAATAATTGATATTAGCAAGTCATTAAATGAATTTCAGATGACATGGAACCCGAGAAATTTATTAAGATTTTAAGTTGAATTATAAACATTATTGAAAAATCGAAAAAGGGGGTTTGCGATAGATAAAACCAAATCCTAATCACATATTAACCTATTTTTAAACCACAATTTTATCATCTTTACAAAGTAAACAGATTTGCAACTACTTTTGATCAAATTGCTAAACTGAAATGCCAACAAGCTTTGATTTATTCTCAGTGTCTGCTTTTTTGTTATTAAGTAGTATTACAGTGTCGAAAATGCCATATCAATTTCAGCACAGTGTGACGCTAATAAATGCGTTGACAAGTTGTCCCCATCCTCACACACCCCCCTTCTCAACGTATCTCATCACCAGTCAAAAACATAAAACTAAAAAACTCACCTGTAGACGCCGCGCACCTCGTCTCCGTTCCTCGTCTCCTTTCGATTTTGCAGCACGCGCGTCTTGCCATCCTCGACACCATAGGCGAAGCTGTACTCTGGCCGGGCCACATAGTCTACAGTGCGTCCATCGTGGACGGTGACCAGATGCTCTGGCCCCACCACCGGACCCTCGAATCTTGTATAGGAATAGCCAACCGCTGCACATGTGCCGATCATTCCAAATCCAGCAATTAGCGCCACCAGGGGCAGCAGATCTTTGAGAAGCCGCGCCGCTTGGCAGACGCGTGCCTCTCTTCGAAACGCAATGCGGAAGCCAATACAAGTTGAAATCCACTGTTCGGGTTTGGGTGCAAATCCAAATTCATCTCCAAATTTGTCTCCAGCTGAGCTGGTTATGCGCCGCTTCTTCATAGCTCTCTATTGACTGGTTATGACTTACGATTGGCACCCTCCAATCCCCCGATTCTTGCATACTAAGCGTGAAATATCGCACTTGCCGGGTATTTATATAGCCATTGGATTTTTGGGAGGGAAATGTCTCCGTCTTTTGGCCACAAAGCATTTCCGCGAAATTATGCGCTTCAATGGAAAGCAGCCAAGTGGAACTTGAGTTTTCAGCAGGGATGTGGTCAACCCATGACGTTGGGTCTGGCCGCAAATTGCACCATTCCCGCAGGCTTTACACAATGCACCGCCTGACGTCATCGATTGGCATGGGCTCTATCCAAAAAGGGGCACGTTAAAGGGGATTAAAAACCAAATGTCTTAAATGCCACGATCTCTGATTGACCATCGCACATTGCGGCGCAATTTGTTCGGCCTGAAAATCGCTTTAAGTGCGTTCAATCTTCCAGTTAGTTAACCACACAGAGAGAAATTTTTATTAGGAATAGCGTTTTTATTTATTAACTGTAAAACTTGCTATCGATTAATTTCCATCGTTTACATTACAATCGTAAGAGTCCCTACTATGTCTGACGTTGTTAAATAAACAATATTCCTAATACGAAAGCTTCATATTTTTCTCCCAACAAAGGACAAAAACAAAATATTTCTAAACAGTGTCCCGGACAAAATTTTTAAAATCTTTAAGTTCAATACTCTATTGATAATAAGTGATGTAATTACAAAACAGTAGATGGCAACTGATTAAGTTTTTTTTTCTCCTGTGCAAGTGACCAAAAAATCGAACATGGAACTACCGCCGATGGCCAAGATAAACCACCTCCACGGGCCACAGACAAGCGCAGCTGCATTCGTTGAAGCTTTGACCTTTTTCTGAGGGTCTGGCAAAAGGAGAAAAATATAGAAAAAAAATACAGCTATGAAAAAATCAGGCAAAAAACCAAAACCAGCGAAAAGCAGCCAAAATATGGCTATTATTTCGGTTGCTTCTAATTTATAAGCAACGCGCGCAGAGGCAACCATTGTTGGCGATGGATGAAAAATGCATATATCATTGGCCTCTGGTGCTTGGCGGTAGTTTGTTGTTGTTATTGTGCGCACACAGTAGTCGACAGCATTAAGGGGGAGGGGACTGGAATGGTTACTGCGGATTGGGACTTAACTGGCCATCGTGGGAAAACTCGTTGGCTGCATCGGTGTGTGCGCAGAAAGCGACGCTTAATTACCCACATTACACAAATGCTGAGGCAACGAGAATCGCACATGGATCGCCGCGAATCTCTTTTTTGGCTGCCATTAACGTAATTAAGACGCAGCTCGTTTGCCCTTTAGCGGCTGCCTGACACGCAACAAATGTGTCACTGCATTATGACTCTCAAATGGCGCAATGCAAATGTCTGTCAGTCGGCGCTATTAAAGCGAAACTAAGCCACATGCCACCGAGTCATGTTGCTACTGTCTCTATGTGTAAGCCTCTGTTTTTTTTTATGTTGCGGCTGACATCGGCCTACTAACTGGGGTATATCCTAGCCAGCCAGGAAAGATTTCTGCGGCCAGATAAATTGCACATGCCACTGTGCTATTACACTGTAAAAAATGTTAGCGTGGAAAGGTATTATATTATCAAACAGGAACTCAAAGTGGTTCTCTTTATCGAATGTTCGCCTTGCAAAAGTGGTTTTGATAATGACATATATTACTAGAGATTGCAATGTTTTTTTAATTAAAAAAAAACTTTTATTTTTTTGCTTAAAAAATATAAAACTATGAGTGTAAAGAAAAATTAACTTATTAAGACACAAACTCATAAAAAACCGAAAACACATAAATTTGATAATGCTTATAATTTCAACATGGTTTATCTTTCAATATTTTAAAAATATTAAATGTTTATACTGAAATTAGAGGGTTTGCTATTGGATACGCTTCTTTTAATATCCGAACTAAAATATTAATTACATTATTAACAAAGCCAGCATTTAAAATTTAGCTGAGTGCACATGTGTGCTTTTCTATGGCCGATTATGTAAGGCATAGCTGTGCCGGCTTCTGCCCCATTTCGAGCAAAAAAACCCGATTTGGCTTCGTTTTCCATTTCATTTGCACCAACTAAAACGCAGAGATGGGGAAGGAGACGTGGTCAGAGATCTCGATCTGGAACGAGTCTGACCAAGCTCAGCTTCTCTCCACTCTCGATTGCAAAACTCGCACGCTTTTCATGAAAGCAAAGCGGGAAAAGTTTACTCAATCAGTTTGCTGTAGCATTTTCATTCAGTTGCCTTCTTTTACACTCAAATCAAAGACACAAAAACCGAAAGGAAGATTATTTGAAAAATTGTATTAGTAAATTTTGCATTTTTCTTAGTTGCTTTTGCAATGATTTGCCTATCACGTCTGGTCGTAATAAACTTGCCCAGTGTCTGGCCGCCAAGACGATCTAAGCGTTCCGAAAAGAAGGATTCCAAAGGTAAGTTTAGTAAATTCTCTAAATAATAATATATAAGTCTTAAAATTCTCGTAGATTCTGATGATCAAGCTGAACATACAGATTTCCAGAGACCTTTGCAGTTCCACACCAAAAGAGGCTATATTAAGTGGTTTAACAAACTGAGTCGCTGTCAAAAATCTCGCAATTTTACGGGAAGAATGCAAATGCATCCCAGGTTGTAGAATTTAATTATCCGAAGAATTAAAGAAGTTGCTCTTGATTTAAATATTTGGTTTTATTTTGTATCCTTTTTTGCCAGCTTCCACAGATGATTGGCAATTAAGATTTCATCTGTTGTACATGGATTAGCTCACGTCGATGACCCATATTCGGATTGGCTCAGCTCGGAGCCGGTTGTTGGTCTGCCTGTATGGCGGCAAAAGTTGGTCAGTGGTGCGATTGCCAGTGGCTGAAGCATCGTGACATGGCAAATGGCCACCAGTTGGTCAGATTTGTGGCCCCTTTTTGGCGCCTTTCTAGAGCCAGCTTTCCTTGTTTTTTTTTTCGCTCGGCTTTTATCTGGCCAGAGGCAAATTAGTCAAATGGTAACAATTATATAATAATCTAGTTATACTTGGTCACCGAGTGCCCCAGTGTCCCGGTGAGAAGTGGGCGTTGCATGTTTGCCTTTCACTTTTTTTTCTGGATCGGCCAGCTGTGCCAGGATATATATCAAACGGCACGATTATACAATAGACCCGATCGCCAGATCGGCACGTAATTAGTCGCCTTAAACTGCGGCAAACAATTGCAAACAGTTGGTAAACAATGTTTGAATGTTCTCCAAACTTCGTATTGCAATTGAGACATTATTCAATTTGTGACAATCGCGAGAAAACTAAAACCGAAACTGTAGCAAGAGCTAAAAACAATTAACTGCATTTTGGCGATTTCCCAAAGCGATGTTCTAATTTTGCAACTGAAAAGAAAAAAATACCTCGCTGGGCCCAAAGTTGTGAACATTTAATGAGCACCAAAATCGTAAATTTAATTTATATCGTTTTCTAAGCTTTTTGTCAGACGACAAATTTCGTAATTTTTTTCGCTTTTTGTTGGTTTGTTTGCTGCTGTTGCTATTTTCTGATTCGTGTAAACTGTGCCGACTCGGCATGGAGCTTTGGATTTGGACCCTGGTTGCATGTCAAAGGCGCATGAAACGCCGCTAGCCTGCCACAAGAATCAAATGACACTCGGCCTGGTCCATTTTGGTCGCTCAAAAGAGTTGGCTGCAGTGCCAAAACATAAAAAAAATCAAAAATTATCCATGCAGTTCAGTGTGTTCGAGTGTGTATGATATGGTCGAAATGGTCAACAGTGTGTAGCCTTAATTGGCACCTCGACACTTGGCCAGGACCGAATCGAATCGCTGTGTAGGTGCACTTGATGGCCGGCTCTGGTGTGAGATTTATGTTCTTTGGCTATATTCATTGCCCAACTGGTGGAACACCGTCTTGGCCAAGTGCTCGACGGCTTCTGGGCTCCGTTATAACTTGGTAGTTGCAAGTTGGCACTTTGGTAGCAGCGGTGCCGCTTTATGATAAAGTATTCCAGCCAATGGTCACGCAATAAATTTTGACATGACTTACGCACGTTCAAAAGTGGCCGATGGGGGGCAATGGATATGAGTGGTGGCCATTATGTAGATCTAAGTGATTAGAAACATCAAATAACATTTATACAACTTTTATGAGAACCAGCAAAAAACTGTGAAAAAAAAATGAATTCAAATAGTACGCTTAAAATCGAAAGCACATTTTTGGTTAGGATTGTTATTTTTATATTTTATTATTTTATTTTAAAATTCTCCTACCCTTTCGATGTCGCACCTTTAATGGCAGCTCTGCCCCAGAAATGTCAGCGATTAGCCAAGAATTTAATTTGGCTGCGCCCTCACCTCCAACATCGGCAAATTTACATCTGGGTAATCGTTTTGTCAAAGAATCGCCCACCTGAAATTGAAAACACATGCAAATAATACATAAAATCCAATAACTTAATAACAAATGCGCCCGTTCAAGACTTGCTGAAATGGTAGGCAGGAACATCTATAAATCGATTGATTGTCGTGGCCGGGCCTAAAGATCGTAATTATCTAGCAGTTAGACAGTGGTTCGTTAATTAAACACACAATCGCATGAGGCGAGAGCACCAATTATAATTGTCGTTTGTTCAGATTGGACGATAAAAGCCAGTGGTAATTGACATTTAAGCCAATTCATTAACGCTGCTAACACATGGGAGTCAAAGAGCTAAAGTTAAATACTAAATACCAGCAGGTGGACAACTACCAAAAAAAAGAGTAAAAACAAGAATAACATGGCTAATCATGCACTAGATTTCGGGAAATGGGTTTTTCACATGCCCGACTAAAAAATGTTGTTTCGAGTTTTTACCAATTTTTCCCCGCACATTTGCATACAAGTTGCTAAGTCGTCGGCGCCACAATTCTCTTCGGTTCCCAGCCTACAGTTAAGCTTGAAGATTTCGGAGGCCCGAGTTGTTAACGGCAATTATTGTAACTTACGGACGGGCTGCATAAATCAGCTTAATTGCTATATTTAAATTCTAAATTTGGAGCTTTGGCCAAGTGCGCTGTCTAGTTGTGCAAGTGACATGGTCAGATCCCATTTGGAGCTGTAAATGTAATTTATGCATGATCTTATTTTTTGGGCAGAAATTGTAATGTATGCAAATAATATGTGTTTGGTGGTGGTCTACTGGAAATTGTGTTTATTTTTATTAGGCTATTAATTTAGATTGAAGAGAGATTAATTGTAGTACTTTGAGTTATTTTTGAGTTATTTGGCTATAAAAATGGTATAACCAAATATATTAAACATATAAAATATTATTAAAAAGAAAAGATTAAATCGTGCATTAATCAAGTTAATTTGAAAAGGGAAATTCTAAATTCAAAAATGATCAAATTATCGTTGGATGCTTGGCTCTGGTTTGTGTCCATGTTAAGTGAAGATTCAAGTTTTCAACCATAAAAAAATAGAAAGCGAAATATTTATATCGTCGAATACCCCAGCTGTATTTCTGGTATATTTGACAAATTAAAGTGGTTATTTTTGACTTTACTGTCACATTGCTTTGCTCCGCCATTTTACGCTGACAATTTTTTCGCAAGATTAGAGAAATTATATCAAGCACGAGTAGAATGTAAATAATTTTAGAATTCGCAGACGGACGACAGCGCGTTAAAGCAATTAATTAAAATTAATTAATTGTTCAGCGGGAGCAATAACCCGGGGAAAACGAGGAGCAGCACGCCGGCTTCCTCATCAAAAATTGTACGAGGCGTGAGTGTGAGTGCGACAGAGACGAAACGTGTGACGAGTGTGTTGGTGTGCGTGCTAAAGTTGAAAAAGCGGCGAAAAATCAGTAATAACGCCTAGGAAAATCACTTTTTCCGGTGCAACATGGCCGATGTGGTCTTGGATCTGTACGCAGAGGACTTGGACAAGGACTTTGCCGGGCAGGCTCAGGTAAGCCACTGAAAGAAAGGAGCCGCTTTGCTGCAAGCCGCGTGTGTATGTATACATTAGGGTGGATCGATGTGTGAATAAAAGATTTTAGGGGGTGGAATGCTTGGGAGGGCTCTACAATTCTTGCATTTTAGTTCTAAAGGAACTAATTTGGGATAGAATCTCAAAAATAATATCCTAGTCCAGAATTTTTGCATAACATTGAATCCTATTTCTGGCGGCAAAGATAGTTTTCGTGAATTGAAACCACATTTTTTTTTATTTATCCCCATCTTGTCCTTATCTTTAAGCGCTTATATTCTTTTTTCCGATAGGACGAATTTGGAGGAGATGGCGTAGACCTTTACGATGACATAGGCGGTCCCACCGAGGCTGCCGCTTCCGGTGGCGGGGGCGGCGGTACGCCCTCCGCAGATGGAGCAGCTGGACCGGGTTCCGGGGATTCCGGCGAAAGGATTTCTGGTGGTCCCAATGGGGTTTACCATCAGAGCGGTGGTAGCCTCACTCCCACCATGAACCGGCGCTATCAGTTGTACGTTGGCAATCTCACCTGGTGGACCACTGATCAGGATATCGCAAATGCGCTGCGAGACATCGGCGTGAGTGACCTGCAAGAGGTGAAGTTCTTCGAGAACAGGGCCAATGGCCAGTCGAAGGGCTTTAGCGTCATCTCGCTTGGCTCGGAGTCTAGTTTGCGTGCCGTACTCGACCAGCTCCCTAAAAAGGAGATGCACGGCCAGGCGCCAGTGGTTACGTACCCCAGCAAGCAAGCACTCACCCAGTTTGAAAGTCTGCAAAAGACGCGACCTGTACCGCCGCCGCAGCAGAATGGACCTCCTAGGGGTCCGGCCCCGCCAAGCATGGGTAGCGGGCCAATACCTAGTGGACACCCGGGCGGACCGCAGGGAGGTGGACCGCCTGGACATCCGCCGCGCGGGATGAATACCATCATGCAGCCGGGACAGTACCGGCCACAGCACATGTCGCAAGTGCCCCAGGTGGGCGGACCCAACTCCGGACCTCCACGAATGCAGGTGTGTTACCATTTCATTAGCCCCCGCATTGCCGTTATTGGCATCATTGTTCGTAGAACTACCGCCCAAACCTATTTTGTTTTGTTTCTACATTGCAACACATTATATTATTTTCCAATTTCCATCAAAATTGTTCTGAATGCAAAATTTTCGTTACTTAAGTAAAATTAGAAACCTTAAATATAGACTTTCATATATAGTTATAAACGAAATTGCCTTATTTTAATTGATTAAATTAAACATTTGGCACGACGATACACGGATAAGTTTAATTGATAATATTCATTTCATTTTTATATTTCTTTTGTAAATTTGTAAAATAAGGTTGACGTTGTTTATGCTTTTAAGTACTATACGTAATATTTTTTTTTTTTCTTAATTTACAAGTAATTTCAGAGCAATTTTTTCTCAGCCTAAGACATTTTGTATTCTTTTTATTTTCTGTACTATAGTAATATACCAACGACAAAGAAAGCAAATTGTAATAAATTTAAATCGAGAGTCAGCAAGGCTGACTCCTATCTGACTTCAAGAAAATAAGATATACTTTTGATTTAATTTTGTTAATGTATCTATGTAATTGTAAAATCCCCCGCTATTGTTATATAAAATGTTTATGTATTACGATTTATGTTCTATTCCATGTCTTTGACAACGCTTACGCACACTTCTACCCCACAACAACTACTACTCCAACATAAAACGTAATACGTATTAATATAGCCGCCGATGCATCCGCAAGGCGGGCTCATGGGCAACCAACAGCCGCCACCCCGGTATCCATCAACGCAGGGCCAATGGCCGGGTCAGCGGCCAGGCGGACCACGACCAGGTCCACCAAACGGACCGCCACAACGACCAATGGTAACAATCCCCAAAGCACTGTGTCCTCCTATAATTATATGCTATGCTTTATAATCCTATGAAGCAAGAGAGAAACGAAGACTAACAGAACTTAAGTTAACCTTAGTTAACTTAGTCTTAAGCGATGTATTCAGAACATTAAAGTTATTCAGCCCATGCAACACCAACTCATTTCCTAGCCTAGACATTTATTTGATCTTTAAGAGGAATAACTAACTTTTTACTTTCTGGCTTGCAGTTTCAAGGAGGACCCATGGGTATGCCCGTTAGGGGTCCGCCGGGCCCCGACTGGCGTCGTCCGCCCATGCACGGTGGTTTCCCGCAGCAAGGCCCTCCACGTGGCCTTCCCCCAGCGCAAGGTCCGGGCGGACCGCACGGCGCCCCAGCACCTCACGTGAATCCGGCTTTCTTCAACCAACCCGGAGGCCCAGCCCAGCATCCGGGTATGGGTGGTCCGCCCCACGGAGCCCCTGGTCCACAGCCCGGCATGAATATGCCACCACAACAGGGAATGAACATGCCGCCGCAGCACGGACCGCCACCACAGTTTGCCCAGCATGGACCTCGTGGTCCGTGGCCACCACCGCAGGGGAAGCCACCGGGTCCCTTCCCCGATCCTCAGCAGATGGGTCCGCAATTAACGGAGGTGGAGTTCGAGGAGGTGATGAGCAGAAATCGCACAGTCAGCAGCTCAGCTATCGCCAGGTAAGTGAAAAGTTTGCTACGAAATGTGTAAAGCAGCAAAACTGCTTTTCGAATTCAAATTTATTCATTGCCCCATCGTTTTTAGAGCTGTTTCTGATGCGGCCGCTGGTGAATACTCGAGCGCAATCGAGACGCTGGTCACGGCTATTTCACTGATTAAACAGTCCAAGGTAGCGCACGACGAGCGTTGTAAAATCCTGATCAGCTCGCTGCAGGATACGTTGCACGGCATCGAGGCCAAGAGTTACAATAGACGCGAGAGATCGCGATCCAGAGAGCGATCGCATCGCAGCCGACAGCGACGTGAACGTTCGACGTCTAGGTATCGTGAACGATCTCGTGAGAGAGAACGCGATCGAGATAGGGAGCGTGAACGTGATGGCGGGTAAGTTATATATTAGTTCAAATTTTAAGGCATTTAAATAAATTAATAATTTCATTCCATTATAGCAGCTATCGGGAGCGGTCACGCAGCAGAGAACGGGAACGCCAGGCTCCAGATCACTACAGGGATGACAGGTAAAACTATTTCGATTGTATATAATTCGCTTCTGTGCCAATGCCTCATATAGCAGTACATTTTATAACTTTCGAGTCATAATCATTTACAAGTAAATCACAAAAAATTGTTTTTATGATATAAATTTTACTATTGCACTAAAATTCGGAAATTCTTAAATCCATAAAGAACATCTTTAAATTTAAAAATTCTGAAAATTTAGGCGAATTATTGACTTCCAAGCACGTGTACTAAATTTAAACCCCATTTTCGTGTTAAAGCAGATCGGTACGTCCGCGGAAGTCACCAGAGCCCGTAGTCGCCGAAGCTGCAGAGGCGCCGTCATCAAAGCGATACTACGAGGAACGCGAGAGGTACCGCTCGTCGGACCGGGAGCGCCGCGACAGGGATCGGGACCGTGACCGCGAGCGGGAGCGCGATCGCGACAGGCGCGAAGAGCACCGATCCCGGCATTGACTGCCATAAGTGGAGGGTTGGAACTGCGCCAGTGGACTGTAATCCAGAGTAAAGATGCAACACAGATATACTAAAAACTCTTTATTAACAAACAATAAGCCGCGATGCTTGGTGGGATAACAAGCTAGCTACAATTAACAGATTTTCGATTTGTATCTAACATTACCAATACGTAGGATATGAATATGGCATACAGCATAGTTCTTCTAGACATACTATAATAAGCCGAAATGCTGACAACAACAACAATTTTACCAACGACGGACGCAGACTGTCTCTGGATCTCTCCAACTTCTCATCTCGCCCTCCTGGGAGCACTAAGACAGACACCGACGTTTGCAACAGAGGGATCGATGGAGGAGCCAGAATGCGTGGGACATTTTAGACAACGATGTTCACTGGATCATCATACAACAAACAGCTAGCAATCCTGCACCGCCGTCATCCCAGCAGAATTTCAATATTATTGTACTCTTAAATTTCGGTTTATTTAATAAAACATAAACGTATGAAAAAGAATTGTTCCAGAAAAAAAAACCTCTACCAAAACTGTCTTGCATTGTGTGTCTTTTTGTACTCTTACTATAAAAAAAACAAAACTTAATCTTATTAGTTAATGAATTTATAATTGTACAACAAAATTGTATGTAAAAAGCCAAAATTTTTGCACTTATGCGTGCAATTAATATTGAAATTGTTATATTAACAAAATCATTTTGCCGAGTGAGGCTGAAAGTCGAAAGCCCTAATGTATTTTCAAAGATTATGCGATTCTTTTTTTGTAATCATTCTCCATGCATTTGTTTAATCTATCTTGTTTTTATTTACCATATAAATTTAAATCGATCATAATTGTGTGCCTGTGATCGAGTGTGAGTGGAATTTTAGAATTTAAATGCCGACTGATTCCATCCACAAAAATGGATGGAAAAGCGATGTTGAAATATGTTTTTTATAGAATAAGTCGAGTGCGTGATATTTCTCCAGATGCTATAATTTTTAGACTAAATTACAATATAAACACGTCCCAACAGCATTTAGCGTAGTTAATTTTACTAACGCTCCAATTTATGTAGTTCCTAACATAGGGTCCAAAAAACAATCGAATCATTCAGTTTCTCCCGAGATACTGTAATTCTCGCGGACCATTTAATACAATTTAGCTCTCCTAATGTATCACCTACATTTTACTTTTTTTAATTCTAGCTTTACTTTTTATTTGTACATACTTTTTGTAAACGATACTCGACTAAGATCATGTCGCACTAATCCTGAATTACAATTACACCTCTGTTGTTAAAACAAACCTACGATTTATAAAGTACCTGTAACTCTCAACAAAGCGAGAGCCTAGAGGTGTTATGAGTATTATGAGCTTAACGATGTCTTGTACAACTTAAACTGTGATTGTGATCTTGATACAAACTACATATGAATTTATACAAAAGAATACTGTCTGTTAAGTCATGCCAAATCAGGTAAAGTTGTCCTATTCGTTCTGTACCTTATATACACAGTATGTAATTTTTAGCTGGGTCTCATGATCCCCTCTTTTATAAAAAAACAACCGATTGTAGTCACTAATTTGGCATAGTTTATGTTTTACAAAATACATAGGTATAATTCTGCACTATGTTTTTAGAAAATACGTCCATTGACTTGTTTGGACTTTACCGCGAAATAAAAAATCTATATTTGGAGAAGTTTGGAACTTCGTTACTTTTCAAAAGGAAATTAGGTAACCCGCGCAACTAAAACAACACGTCACATAATCATCTGGAAGGTTTCGAAAATGTAGCCGTTATTCAGCACTAATAAGGTGAAAATAGCCAAAACATTGTCTTATCACCAGTGCTGGCAATAAATTTAACTAGCTGTATAAAAGTACTCTAAGTTTTTTTTTAACATTAAATATTATGTATTTCGTACTTTAATGGTATTATTTTGGAATTTTTGATTATTACGTTGGATATTGAGATTACAATAAAATTAGCTGAAAAAAGCTAAGTTATCATCACTGATTTTAATAGGTTACCCAGCACTAGTACGTGATAAAAAATTTCGTGAAGTACAGAAAGAAAAAGCGAGAATATAGATCCAAGTAAGCCCAACAATAAACAGTCAGATTAAAATCATCAAGCATATAGTTCACATTCACTCCTCCGTTTGATCGAAAAACTGAAGTAAACTAACCGATTAATAGGAACAGCAAGTGCGAGAAAAAGAAGACCATAATGGCAGAGACTGCAAACCACTTCAATGAACGATTCCAAACCTTTATGAACGGCCTCGGCGACCGTTAGTAAGTATTACATACCGATGGGATACCTAAAAGTCTGGGGTCAAAGTGCCTTACACTGACGTGTTGTTTTGGTATCCAACTAAATCAACAGTTGGTCATCCGATCGATGGACCTTGAAACTAAAAGTAGATGGACTAATGAGACCTCCTCCTTCTCCCTTTCCACCAGTGAACCCTATGTGCGTGAACACCTGTCAAAGGTTTACATGGTCCTGGGTAGCACTGCCGCAGCGTCGGCCTTGGGAGCCATGCTCCAGATGCGCGACTTCCTCGATCTTGGAGTCCTGGCGGCGATAGCCACTTTGATTCTGGTCCTAGGCCTGCACTTCTACAAGGATGACGGCAAGAACTACTACACACGGTTGAGTATGCTCTATGCATTTGGATTCTGCTCTGGCCAGACCCTCGGACCGCTCCTCGGATATATAAGCAGCATTAATCCAGCTATTATAGTGTCGGCTCTTACCGGTACTTTCGTTACCTTCGTCACCCTCTCCCTAGCCGCTTTGCTAGCGGAGCAGGGCAAGTACCTCTATCTGGGCGGAATGCTAGTCAGCGTCATTAACACCATGGCCTTGTTGAGTCTTTTTAACATGGTCTTCAAGTCGTACTTTGTGCAAGTGGTGAGTCCCAATTTATTTACTCCGAAGTTCCTTATTTTATACCCTAATGATAGTGGGTTCTAAATTTAATTTTAACAAAGTATATTTCGTCACCAACACTAGAAATAGATACACAACCAGTAATATTTTGCATACGATCAAATCATACTTTATTTTTTATTTCACAATAATCTGATGTACTGAGATAATCTGATAACGTCTTTTCTATTTTTAGACTCAACTATACGTAGGCGTTTTCGTAATGGCTGCCTTTATCGTCTACGACACACAGAACATTGTGGAAAAGTGCCGAAATGGAAACCGAGATGTGGTGCAGCATGCTCTAGATCTGTTCTTTGATGTTCTTAGCATGTTCCGCCGTTTGCTGATCATTCTTACGCAAAAGGTAGGTTTTCGGGGCAAGGGTGTTTAGTCCACCGATCAGTTGCTATAAGCTACCTCACTTAGCTCAAGACCTTTATGGTATAACGCGTATCGGCCGAATTATCTATCTAGATCAGATAACCGCCAAACAGTTGCTGATCACTTTGCAAAAGCTTTAAATTCTGAAATTCGGTGTGAAGAACCATTTCAAACGGTATTTTTTGCAGCCATGGCAATAAGTATACTTTCACAAAGTCAGGCTAGAATCTTTAGGTCTGTATTAACAACTTGTGGGAAGTATATTTGTTTCCAGAAACTGCGAACGAACCTTTTTGCAAAGTTTTCTAGCTGCTTGTGAAAATATATTTATTTACCTTTGAAAAAGAAAATTCAGTAATGCTATTTAATTTTGTTACAGGAGGAGCGAAAACAGAATGAACGTCGTAAGAGGAACTAAGTCTAACTTTACTAAATACCAACCACCAAAACAAAAACAACAAGACAAGGGATACGAGGAGGTTGGCAGTTTTCTCTTTCTAAAAATTTATTCGCAGAGAAATTCAAATATGCCGTGTACATTTGGCTTTAAATTTACATACAAATGTTCAATATAAAAACCTTGAAAATTCCCCATTTAATAAATACTACAAAAAGTCAAATCATCCGTACTTTGCCCATTAATGGAGTAAACCAATCATGGCGCAGTAGATTCACCATGTTGATAGTATCGATTGGGGGCTGAGGGACAATTAATTAGGCTAAGTGCACACTGCAGGTTATAGCTCAATGTTTGACGAAAGTGGTCATTCGATGTTCTAGTTTCTAACGGATAAGATGGCGCAGACGGAAGATACTGTTCAACCCCTACTGCAGCAGTTCCAACAACTGTTCTTTATATCTAAGATAGCCGGAATTCTTCCACAGGATCTCGAGAAATTTCGCTCTAGGAATCTGCTGGAGAAATCTCGCAATGGAATGATCTACATGCTGTGTACTCTGATTGTCTATGTGGTGCTCTATAATATTCTCATCTACTCCTTTGGGGAGGAGGACCGAACCCTCAAGGCCTCGCAGAGTCAGTAAAGCATAAAACATGGAGGGGTGAACTTGTCACTCAATTTATTCATTGCTCACAGGCACCTTGACTTTTGTGATTGGCTTGTTTCTGACCTATATTGGTCTGATCATGATGGCCACTGACCAATTGACTGCCTTACGAAATCAGGGCAGGATTGGTGAGCTTTACGAACGTATTCGCCTCGTGGACGAGCGTCTTTACAAGGAGAAGTGTGTGATAGACAACAGTACCATTCAGTTTCGGTAAAAAGAAACATTTTTGTTAATTTTGTTGAAATTTTAAGTTCATAAGTTGAACCTTTCCTTTTAGCATCCGGATCATGCTTATTATGACAGTCGTTTTTGAGTTGTCCATTTTATTGGCCACCTATGTCAAGCTGGTAGACTACAGTCAGTGGATGTCCTTGCTTTGGGTAGTCTCTGCCATTCCAACGTTTATCAACACACTAGACAAGATCTGGTTTGCTGTTTCGTTATATGCGTTAAAAGAACGTTTCGAGGCGATCAATGCCACACTGGAGGAGCTGGTTGCCACGCATGAGAAGTATAAGCTGTGGCTCCGAGGCGACCAAGATGTAGCACCTCCTTTGGATAGTTCTCAGCCACCCCAGTACGACAGCAATTTGGAGTATCTGTACAAGGAACTGGGAGGCTTGGACATGGGTTCGATTGGCAAGAGTTCAGTGGGGGGCTCAGGAAAAAATAAGGTGGCACCTGTTGCTCACTCCATGAACTCCTTCGGTGAACCAATAGATTCTGCTACCGGTAAACCTCCTCCACATCCCCTAGCCTCCAATATGATTCACGAAAGCGAACTGGGAAATGCCGCCAAAGTAGAGGAGAAACTGAATAACCTGTGCCAGGTTCATGACGAGATCTGCGAGATTGGCAAAGCCTTGAACGAACTGTGGAGCTATCCTATTCTATCCTTGATGGCGTATGGATTCCTTATTTTTACTGCACAACTGTATTTCCTTTACTGCGCCACTCAGTATCAATCGATTCCATCTCTTTTTCGCTCCGCCAAGAATCCCTTCATCACGGTCATCGCCTTGAGTTATACGTCCGGGAAGTGTGTGTATCTCATCTACCTGAGCTGGAAGACTTCGCAGGCCTCCAAACGCACTGGAATCAGTCTGCACAAGTGTGGTGTGGTGGCCGATGATAATATTCTCTACGAAATAGTTAATCACTTGTCGCTGAAACTTCTAAACCACTCAGTAGACTTCTCCGCCTGTGGATTCTTTACCTTGGATATGGAGACACTGTATGGCGTGAGTGGCGGGATCACCAGCTACCTGATCATCTTGATTCAGTTTAATTTGGCCGCCCAGCAGGCCAAAGAAGCAATTCAGACATTCAACTCTTTGAATGACACCGCTGGATTAGTTGGTGCGGCCACCGATATAGATAATGGCAGTTCCACGCTGCATGACCTGGTGACTACTACCATGCTGACACCGTCAGGCTAAATCTAAGCCTTTTTCGATACTTTTAAATGTTAACAGCACATCTTAGCACCTTTATTTTAATCAATACCACTAAATAAATCTTCACAAAGCAGTTCTGAGTTTATATTCGGCCCGAGCGTCCTCTATTTCTTTTAGTAGGTCTGCGTATGTTGCATTAACTCCATCGCAGTCTAAGATTGCCACGCAGGAGATCTGCGCTCGCTTTTGTAGTGTGTGGGAAAGTTCCCTTCTAACAAGGGGAAAGCAGTAGGGCACCTTTTCTTGCTGACACTGGAATTTTAAACTTTCTATGGTCTTATCTAAGCCATCTGTTGAATGAAATAAGAATATATTTTGCTTTCAAAATAATGACCAACTCACACTCTCCCGGGCAGCTCTCACAATCGGTGGCCAGGAGCAACAGTTTAACCTTGTTGATCCTCAACCTGGCCACAGCCTCTCGGAAACCTAAAACCATCCGAGGATGTGCCCGAGCTTTGATTTCATTTTTGGCAAAGGCGCGTTTCTGGAAGCGATCCAATTCTTGGAGCAAATGTTTGACCAACTCCTTAAGACGAGGGCGGGTGCAGTTATCACAATAGCTGGAGGGGATTGCATACAATACTTTATACATACATACATATACAGTATATATTAGAGTTTCTAACCTTCTGAAGCGCCGAGAGTGTATTGAATGTATTTCCTTCGCGTGTGAACTTTCTATGGATGTGGGTGGTTCAATAAGGGAAAGCCTCTCGACTTGTAGCTCGACAGAATAAACTTTCAGAGGGAACTTTGAACAATCTTTTGGGGCTGCATCATTTTTTTTCTCCGTGACTGCGCTTTCCTCCTTCTTCACGGTGCGATAACAGCGTACGGACCTCTTTAGCTTGGTAATTTTCTTTTTGGGCTTGAGGCGGGTTTTACCTTTACGTTTGATACCTTGTATGTAATTATTCCTTGTTGTGGTTAAATGTGGCTTGTGCAGTTTCCTGACCTTTATTTGCCTCTGTGTTTTTGGTCGCGGCTTGACCACAAAGTCAAGCAGCGAAGTTTGCTGCTCCGGTTTCCTGTGCTTGTATTTGTACTTGGAACTGCGGGGAGTGTTCTTGGGTGCTGTATCCTTATCATCGCGAAGTTTACTGTATGCTTTCTGATCTATGAGGTTTATTTTGTCGGAATTTCGCGACATTTTTATAGAGCATCTCTAAACTAGTGATGGCTGGCGGCTGAGTGGTGAGAACGAAAATTCACCACACTTAAAAAAAAAAAAACAGTATTGGCAAACGACCACTGGTGGGCAATAAAAGGGGGAATCCGAAGAATAAGCGATCACTCGTCTTCAGTATCTTCCCTCTAAAAGTTAAACTTCTTCGGAAAAATGAGCTTCTCGAAGCATTTGCAAACGATTTTGGAGGAATTGTTAATTCCTGATAATAAGAGGTCCGAGTATACTAAGGATGCGGAGGAAATTCAGAATTACGTGATAGAAGAACTAAAACGTGTAGATTATACATACCTTTTGCCAAGTTTTCAACGGACTTAGCTTGGGTGGTAAGTGATTTTATATTAAATACAAAACAAAGAAAAAAGAAAGATCAAAAATAAGAACGTTTAAATTGTAAAAAAAATTTATTTTATAACTACATATGTACATACATATATACTGTATATATACTATGTACATATATGGTGCTATATGTATGTATGTATGATAAAGCTTAAACTGATGGACTTTCAAGAAGTAATAAAAATATTTGTAGAGGTGATATAACTGAAGTTATTTAATTTCATGTGCAATTAATGGATCGATAGTGATTGCAATTTATGAGTCAGAAGTTTAATACTATTTACTTTCAAAGTAAACTAAACAAATTGTATTCTTTAGGAAGTTACTTTGATCGCATCAAACTAAATGTTCCCGATGAATTTGATCTGCATATGAAACTAAAATTCCCATTTGATATCATCCCGAGACCTATCTACAGTGGGTTTATCTATTTGGAGGGAAATTTGGTCGTAGCCGGAATCCAGCGCATCCATCGTGTGCATCTTCAAGATTGGTTGCGCAATGCATTCAACAAAGTATTCAAAACGGATATAACTTTTACCAGTAACAGTGGCCGTGTTTACAAATTGAAATACACGCTACAGGGCTATGGTTGTGCGCATACCATTGAAGCCGTCAGTGGAAGTCACTCGATATCTTTTGATATGGTGCCGGCTTTCGAATTCTCTGGGAGGCATTGGCCGCTTGCAGTTCCCCCGGTTCCTGCTGAAGTACGGGAAAATTGGCCTTGGTTCGCCATTCCGCAAAAAATGCCCAAGAATAAATCTAGGACTACATTCATGGTTTGTGCACCTCAGTGGGAGCGAGAAATTATGAAGGACTCGGATAATTTGAAGAATGTTCTACGGTTGATGAAAGGATTAAGAGACGCCCATGCTCGGAATTTGCCACACTTGTCCAGCTACATGTTGAAAACAGTTGTGCTCCATCGAATCGCAAGTGTTGATTGGCAAAGGGATCTGGGCACTCTCTTCGTGGAGATGTGGAGTCATTTGGTGGATCATCTTAGAGCCGGTAGGCTGGAATTCTTTTTGGCAAAGGATCACAATATTTTCAATCGTATGAATAGTGGTGAAATTAAGAAATGTTTAAAAGCTTCTGAGAATTTGCTCCAAAAACTCCGCAACGCTCAGTTAAATGTCAGATATTTTGATTTGGCAGAACTTTTTGATTGTTAGATTGGAATTTACTACAAAAATAAGATTTTGTTTATTTCTGCATACCAACATAATACGTTTCAGTTAAGAAAAAAGCGTGTATAAGCAAAGAAAGATGATTTTTAAGGGCATCGCCTAAACGTTGTTTGTCTTCCTCCAATATCGAGTAAATAAACAACTTGAAAAATAATGAAAACTCAACACAATTCCAGAAGGAAATATTTGATTTCAAATGCATGTGAAATGCCACTCTTCCATTAAATTGTGAAATTTATTGATCTACTTTTTATTTATAATTTGGTACAGCTATGAGTTTTAAATACCTTAAGAAGAGACAACTTTAAACTTACTTTATACAGGAGAGCGGGTAGGCAGCTTCTTACCCTGGAATTATAAACGGTAAGTACAAAGGATAGAGTTCAAAAGAATTTGGCTATAATCGAATTTTGCTTTCGATGGAAATGTGAAGGTCGTTAAACTCCTTTAGGTGGGAAAGGATGGCGTCCCTTTCCCGTTTGTAAATCTCCCAGAACTTCAGATATTGACTGACGTGTTGCAATACCAGGTTGCGGGCAAAGTCTAGACAGCTCCTCACGTTTCGCATCCGCCGTTTGCAGCTGGTCAGAACCGAACGTATCTGCTGCTCCGGCTGCAGTTGGGCGATTACAAATGCAAAAACGCTTTGGACATCAATCCGCACATCGGTGGGAAAAACCACGGACTCGGTGGGCTTTGATTGAGGGAAGACGATCAGCGATGGAGTGATCGGCATAGCCAATTCCCAGGGCAGATCATTTGCCTTGCTATCGAAGCGTACAAAGTGCACTTCAGGACTGCTTAGTAGCGCCGAAACCTGTAAGAACGCTTGCGACAAAACTGCTGATAACGCGCAGTCCGGACGATACATAAATACCACATTTGTGGCATTAGGTAGCTGGAGTGCCTGTAGCAGCATTTGTCTATTATATTTCCTGCAGAATCCTGAATGATTCACTGCAGGTGCATTCTTGTGAATCCTCGGCAAAGTCCTTGAGTAAAACTGGCGGATGAAATCCTTTAGTGCGACATAAGAAAAGCTATGTTGTTGCGGCATCACATATAGCGACTCTTCCGCCGCATCCAAGATGAAAACTTGAACCTGCTGATGGTGCTGCTGAATGCCAAGCTGATGCAAATAGTCCCTATACTTTATAGAATCAAAAATAACCACGCTAAGCGACCTGTTGTGAGCTGCGTACTCAGCCGAGTGTTGCCAAATAAGATTGCCATATTTTGTTACCATCCTAGCAATACCGATCTTTATTGCTGGTGTTCCATGCTGAGAGTGAGCCAGGCAAAGATTTCTAGCGTGCAGTCGCAGCAAGTGAGGGACCTTTCGTTTTCTAGGGTGATTTTGGTGAGAGTACTGCTTCCATAGATGGTTGAGGTACCTGTTGATTTGATAATAGTTCGTCAGCGTTGCTTTGATTCTTCCCCAAACGGGATAACAGCTACGATTTTGGTCAGATTCCAAATACAACTCTTTTGGGACTTGCAGTAGAGAGTAGGCGTTCTCATCCTGCTCCATTAAAGTGTTCCAATAATCTTCGCATCCCTCTGACTGCTTCCTTTGAGCGGTAGCCATTTCCTCACCCATGACACTCGCATGGTGGTAATGATTCATTCGAACTCCCATGGCTAGCACCGGAAAATGTCGCGCCTTCATAGCAATCGTCATTGGTGTGCCATAGCCGTTGGAGAACAGAGATGTGTTCTTAAGAGTATTACGTACCCAACGGAGAATGTCCATTGTTTTCCAGTCCACAGAACTGCCATTAAAAGTATGTACGCCATTTCGGCTGTCGATGACAACAAACTGGGGCAGATTGGCCTCTGCAGACTTTAGCATTTTTTTGGCACTGTCACCAAAGTTAACGGTGAAGCGGATATTCCTCTCTGGATCTAGCTCCAACCAACGCAAACCGGCAGCTAAGTATAGCTTGTAGGCCTTATCGTCCGGCGAACCCAGCAGGCCTAGAACCACTGCATCCGAGTGTTTTCTTATGGCTGCCAATTCCTGACTGCTGTGTACCCGGTCGAGGGGCTGAAGCAGATGGTTCATGAACCGGGCAAGTTCCTCAAAGCTCCATGCACCATGGTACTGCAGCATCTGTTTTTGTCCATAACGAACCACTAGCGTAGGCCACTTGTCCGGATAACCACCTGCGCCCACGACACCAGGTGGCGGCATCAATGTACGGCTGCAGTTGCACTGCAGATGCCAACAATCGATGGCCCCGAAGAATGCGTACTCCTGATAGTAGTGCACCAGGCCATTGTACACCAGCCGCGCCTGCCTTGCTTCACTGGCCCAGGACACGTAGTAGAAAAGCAGAGAAATCTCCGACTCGGCCGCATCTGCCCGGATTTGCGGCACACTGCGGCCAGGGCACTCATCTATGGTCACCTGGTCCGCTGTGCCGGACCTGGAGGCACGCAACTGGCCGATCGTAAGGGCCGAGAGCACCAGGTAAGCAAATATTTTCATTGCAACCGGTGAAGCTAATTAGTGGGCAGAAACAACAACAAAAACCGCCACAAACATATGACCGCTTATATCATGGTCACACTGTATCGTAGGTGTAACAGTTTGTGTCACTGAGACAGGAAAATCACAGAAATTCTAGTTGATTTTGTTTTAAACTTATTATACAATTTGATAAGTTTATTTTGGTAAAAATTGTTTGGAAAAAAACAATAAATTTTGAATATAAAAAAATCTGAAGTTTAAAATCATCATTGTTTAACACTAAGCGGTTCGCGGCTCTGTAAGCTTTACTCGTTGTCCTACACTGCCAGATGTTATCGATGTAGATAACTAGCACTATCGATTCCAAGTGATGTTAATTAATCACTTTTACTGTTTACTTTTTTAATTAAAACTGAGATAATTAAATTAACGACAACGGCTGTTCTTAACCCACTGCGACGCGTAAACGAAGCCGTTCCAATCGGCTTGTCGAAGAAAAGAAAACCACCCAAGGGAAAACCACCAGGAAGTTGCCAACCGAACCCCCAAAAAAACCCCATTTGGCGAAGACAACAAGAGTAATCAAGGCGTGTGTGTGGAGTGCATAGTTAAATCAGTGAATAATTTACCGTACGGCCTTCGCCTTCCCCTGGGGGAACAACAACAAAGTCTCACGTTCACTTACACCCACACATAGGCATACCACGCAACACAAGACGCACACATAGGAAGGCCGATAACCTGTGTGTGAGGCAATCGCCGTCATCGCCCGAAATCAAATCACTTATCGGGGAAAATAACAATAATAACAACAGAAGCAGCTGCAGCATAATCAACAATTAGATATATAAATACGGCTCAAATATGGGATTGTTATTATCGCGGCTGTGGCGGATGTTTGGAAATGAGGAGCATAAGCTGGTGATGGTGGGTCTGGACAATGCTGGAAAAACGACCATCCTGTATCAGTTCCTGATGAATGAGGTGGTCCATACCAGTCCTACGATCGGTTCCAATGTGGAGGAGGTCGTTTGGCGAAATATACACTTTCTCGTTTGGGATCTCGGAGGCCAGCAGAGCCTGCGAGCTGCCTGGAGCACCTATTACACGAACACAGAGCTGGTGATCATGGTCATCGACTCGACGGATCGGGAAAGGTTAGCTGTGACACGAGAAGAGCTCTACCGAATGCTACAGCACGAGGATCTGAGCAAGGCTAGCCTTCTGGTCTATGCCAACAAACAGGATCTTAAAGGTTCCATGTCGGCAGCAGAGATTTCAAGACAACTAGACCTCACATCCATCAAGAAGCACCAGTGGCACATCCAAGCCTGCTGTGCGCTCACAGGCGAAGGACTCTACCAAGGATTGGAGTGGATCGTGCAGCGCATCAAGAACAAATGACCCGCCACACACGCTACGTATTAGCTAATTAATCATTAACAACTAGCTGTCTAGAGAAAGTAAACCAATTTTGATATAAACAATTTTTAAGCGTTTCCAAATTGTTTGAAAAGTTGTTGCCAAGCCAATTTTATTTAGTGTAAAATACGTCTGAAGAAGGATACCCTCAATGATTTAAATCTACGTGTATATGGATAATGTCTAGGAGCTAAGCCAATTAACTACCATACTTCCAATAAAATTACAAAATAAACAAGTTTATTTCGACACTGTCGCGTATCGCGTATCAAATTGAATACAAATTACAAATAGAGAAGTGGACGTATTTTCCTCTCTGAGCATTGCCTTGTAATTGACATTGTTGGCTCGATTCGGTGATGTGTGAGATTGTTTGTACTCTATCGTCTAAAATAAATACATGGTTGTGTAAAAGTTAGTGTCTAGGATTAGGTTAAAACATTAGCATTAAAATATAGCCACAAGAACAATTTGATCACAAAAGTAAAAGCAAAATAAAAAGCGGGGTCAGTGGGTTTAGAGTCTAGGTGAGATTGCAAGAGCTGCTGCAACTCTTTAAAGGCTTTCCCTGGCCCAAAGTGATTGTGTTCTCCGGCACATCCTCCACATTGTTGGCATCGTGTTGGCGCTGTCATAAAAATAATATTAGTTTGGTAAGCTTTAGACGATAGAAGTCTACCTTAAGTTCGTTAGCAAGGCAGCGGAAGGCGTCCTCCACATTCATATTCTCCTTGGCGGAGGTCTCCATCACGAAAAGAATTTCAGGTATATATTGACACATCTGGCGAGCCTCCTCAAAGTCTACTTCACGCTGCTCCTCCAAATCGCACTTGTTGCCCACAAGGATAATCAACACATTGGAAGCCGTATACCTGCGCACCTCCTCTATCCACTTTTGCAGGTTGGAAAAGGAAGACCGCTTGGTGATGTCGTATACTGTAAGGAAAAACAAGGCTGTCAAACTAGGTAAACAAACACCGTGCTGATAAGGTTGCGCGCTATTAAAATCAAAGCGTTTGGTAGTTATCAGTAGAACTTATTTTCCATGACAAATGGATGGGCGTATGCCCTGAAACCGAAAGATACTGGACTCACCAATTAAGACCCCGTTGGCTGAGCGATAATAGCTCTGCGTAATGGTGCGAAACCTCTCCTGACCAGCAGTGTCCCAGATTTGCAGCTGAAAAGGGATTTAGGATGTGAATCATCAGGAGCAGGCTCTTGGGTAATCCTTTCCTCACCTTGATTTGTTTGCCCTCCACGGCGATGGTCTTCATCGAAAAGTCCACTCCGATGGTATTTCCGTGTCGCTCTATGTAGTTCCCAGTTTTAAACCTGTCCACTATGCAAGTTTTCCCCGTCCCACAATCGCCTATGAGAACAATCTTGAACAGGAAGTCGAAGTGCTCTTCGTTTGGCAGTGCCATCAAAGTCTGAGGATTGCGGGCGGTCATCTTGTGGCCCCCGTACTGGCCGTTAAGTGGTCTCTTTTGCCTGCGGCCCTCCTTTTCCAATGACAACAAAGTGAAGTAAAACTAATTTAATTGATACGCAATATCAGCTGTTGCCTATCGATACTAGAATCATCGATATATAAGTGGGACATTAGAAATTAAAAGTTTGAATTAGTTTTAACTTAATAAAGTTTTTTTTTCAAGTTTCTTTAATTGATTTTCTATTACAAAAAGGTAAAAACTCATACTTAACTGACATATCGATATTAAATGCAAGAAAGTGATATCGAAAACCGTTAGTTTTTATCATCGCCTTTTAAATATTAGCTGCCAATTTTAAAGATGACCAAAAATTAAATCAGAAATTTTTTTAAGTAATAATATTTAAAAAATTTAATAAACCCGTAAGAAACACAATATTACATTCAACTACAGTATTTACGATTTTTATTGTTTTCTCTTTAACTATTTAGTCTAATACAATTTGGCCGAAGCAAATTTACACGATTTTCCAATACCGACATGCCAGCTCGCACTGGTAGTTTAGAAATGGAAATCTATTTGGTAGATTTTATCATTACGCAATAAAGCTTTAAATATGTTGACAATTTATTTAAATGACTTCACTATTGGAAAGCCCTCTTGCGTGCAAGTCCATGTGAATCGGGGTACATAGCCCGATTAAGCCGGCGATCACGTAGGTCAGGCTTTCTGATAACACATGGGACTTCAATAAATTTTCACCACGTAGCTTGATGATGGCGCCATTTGACGCTAAAGAGTTCGCTTTATGGGATTGTAAATATTTATGATGGGTTTCGAAGAAATTCCTCAAGTTTTCCCTGTGCAAATCTTCGCTAAATAGAGACCTTGACCCACATATCAACTTCTATCTCTAGACAGCGAAACGAGACTCACTTTCAAACCGCAGCGGAAGCGGCCGAGAAACATGTTCTATGTATCTCACCGAATGCAAATAAGCTGACCAACTGCTTCGATTGCCAACCGAATTGGAAACCGCATGCCAGATGCGCCTGCGCACACGCACTGTCGCATCCATTTCGCATGGAAAGTTTAATTGCGCCAGCCTTAGTCGATCTAGGGGCCAAAGTCTAGGCGAGAACTTGTCCCACGATTAGCCAGATACTGATGGACGTTGTCCACACAGGAAAAAACACGGTCTTTTATAGTGGCAATATACAGTCATATTTCTGATGGCCATTTGCCATTTAGATGATTTCGTTTTGTATTAAATTATAAGTAAGGATTTAACTTTGATTGTTTTAAAAATGAAATTTATAAAAATGAAATCATTATATTATTAACGAACAAGTTTTCAGTGCTTTGATGCTTTGAAGTGAAATTACGACAGCCTTAGATTCACAGGCCGCAACCTAGTTTGAGCCAGGAAAGCCCTCACGAAGGCGATGAGTCAGAGGAATGCTGGAAAACACTTCGCTGTAGATCTTTCCACACCCCCGCAGCTAAAGATCTTCCTGGCAGGCAAAAGGAAATCAAACAGAGAATTGGCAACTTCACACAGAGGCTCTCGAACACGAAGACCAGATCAAATGAATTTTTAGCAGGCCTGGCTGACTGGTTTGCCGTTTTGGCTGGCGGGTAGCTTCTGCCCGACTACTTCCCCCAAACACCCCTTGAATTCTCGGCCAAACTTTTGCATTGTAGTTTGGCCCGTTCGCCGTTGCTTTTTATCGCTCGCTTCGGCCGCTGGCCGCTTTAGTTGAATTTCAAACGTTTGCGCGCGCGGTTGTCGGAACGTGTCCCGAAAAAAGTCGAAAGACCGAGACATCAAATCTATTCAGGCTTTGACAACGCTTTTCCTTCGGTCTAAAGGACCGTCAAGCACAGTTTAAAAAGTGAAAAACGTGTTGAGATCTTTGCCTAGGAAAAAACATACGTTTGATCTCTAGCTTTGAACTTTGTAGAAAAAGGAAGGAGATTTTCGCAGCGGAAAATAGGTCACAGTCAACCTAACCAACCTGTTTGGGAGATTTTCCCAAGCTTATAAAGATTATGTAAGCTTCAGACTCCTTCCGCAAAAAGTGGCAAAAATAAATTTAAAAAAACCCAATTACCTAATTGTCATGCATCCGGCGTTATCGCTTGTCAACTTTCTACCCCCGCTTATTTTGATTGATTTCTTCACTTATTCGAAGCACGAACATCTACATTCAAATCCAATTCGAATCGAAATCCGTTGGACACTTGCACTTTCCACCGCCGAAATGGCCTTTCGCAACGATTGTTTTTGTTTTGTTTGCCGCATTTCTGATTAATTATTCAGCACCATTTCTCGCAGTGCGGGTGCAACGTGCCCGCAAAAACGAAAAACTTAAGCCACGAACTTTTTAATGTGTGTCGATTTTGCGGCGATATGGTATGAAATAATCAAAATTATTATTCGATCAAAGTGCCAGCGTTCACCTGCTGACCCAGTTTTCGGTTTCACTGCTAAAATTAAGTAAATTTCTTTATGTCGCTGTAAAAGCAAAACTCTCTGGATTCTGACAGACGGACATGGATACGTCCATACTTAGCAGGCGCCAATTAAAGCTCAGCTGCACTAATTCGCCATAAGTTGCCAAGGCTTTTCTCTGTCTCGGACACTGTCTCTTTCTCGGTCTCCATGTTTCCTTCTTGATCTCTGTCTCAACTCACTTCTCTCACATTCCCAAGTGACATTTGTTGCGTGTTAGTTGTTTGTTTGTGTCTGCCAGGTTTTTTACCAAAGGGTAACTCCCCTGGCACATGAGACTGGCTACCGAAAGTTGTAAATCTAATGCTAAAAATATGTAAACATATATTCAGCATTTTATGTACTTACATTTTAAGCTATATCTTATGAGTTTAAACGAACTCTTTGAACTTACATGTGTCAAACCTAGGGGCTCACTTATTTAACCTGGTTATAAAAGTGGGTCGTCGTCCATTTATTTAACAGGCGCCATAAAATACTTAAAAAATATAATAAATTTGTGAACTTTTTTAAAATATTTTAATGTTTAGTTTAGATTCTGATTATTTGTATTAATTATTTTTATTTTTTTATGTAAAATTGGAAGCTAAACACAGTAATTCAGGAGCACTTAAATTGTCATTCAAATTCAGACTGGATTAGTGACTTTTTTGTTGCCTGAAAGGCATTTAGTCTTCGACTTAGATTTTCGCATAGAAATTAAAGTGATCCTTGGCCAACATCTGTTAGGCCACCATTCATGGCCATAAGCGAGAGTCGCCGCCAAGGCGTCGCTGTCAAATGCTGTGGATGGAGTGAAGCAGAGTGAAGTGCAACTAGTGGACGGTCCAGTTGTGGCGCTTCCTCAACGCACTTGCCCAGTTGGAGGCAGTGGCTCCGCCTCGTCCTCCTCCCTGATCAGCCTAGATAGTGACCCCATTTCGATTTCACGTCTATCACTGAGCTGCAATTAATCTCATCTGCATTTTGGCCTTAAAGCTGAACCACGCCCACCGGCTGTATGCCTGTCTGTCCAAAGAGACGTCTTGACACCGAGTTAGCTTAGGCCTAATTTCTTTGTAGCACTGTCATTGCAGGTAAACTCGGTTACTCTCTTCCGTAATTTATTTCAATAAAAGCAAAACATAACAACATGTTTAAACTTTTATAAGACTTTTTCAGAATGATGTTTAGCTTACTTTTTTTATTGGTTACTTATACAAAGCCCAGAATCTTCTCTTACTTAGCACCCCACACATATATTAAAGATATTTAACCACGAGGAACGCCCAATAGCCTGTTTGATATCTTGTTTATTTCTGTTGTAACGTTGTCAAATTGGGAGAAACTTTGCCGAACCTTTTGGATAATTGAGTCGATGAGTTGTAAAGAGGAGTGTGTGGAGTAGGCTGCAATGCCTTGGTCTAGATACCTGGGGAACCTGCACCTCCCAGTTGGCCGTCAAATTGCAGCCTTTGGGAAAGTGCTGCCGCATCTGGCTGGGGCTCTAATGATTGCCTCGGATCGCTAACGGATCGCAAACACTCCATCTATCTATGTGTATGCCAAACCGATACGAACCGGCTGTGGCAAGTGGCAAGTTCTGCGCTTAGTTGCATCATTGGTGGTGCGGTAAAAGTGCGTCTTGCTCCATTTTGATTTTATTCGGGGTGAAATCTACGACTGGATTCAATTGGTTTCGTTTAGAATTATAAATCAATTTGTTAGCATGCTTTCACTAAATACACACGCATATTGCCAATTCTCCTTGCAACTGCAACTGTTGTGAATTTATGTAGCTGTAGCTGCAAGTCGTAATCAGAATTCAAGCTGCGAAGGCTAACGGTTTGAGGCATGGCAGCTGAAACAATGCCAAGAAGTGGGGGAAAAGCTTTCCCAAAAAATCGACATACGCTTAAACATAGAGCTCTAAGCAAAGAAACCAGTTAAATTATGATGAAAATCAGGGGGATGCTTCAAAGGGGAAAAGTGGTGGGATATAAAATCTGGTTGAGAATGCAGAACGGGGTGTGCAGACCAGTAGGAGAGGCGATGTGTGCACCACAATTGCTGTTATACAACTGTTGTATAATGACGGCCATTAGGCCAGTCTTTTGCCAACTCAATTGCTGGCTAGTTGAATTTGGAATGGAAGCCCGCGTCTAGTCGAGTTCGTTGTCTAAGTCTCTTGTTTGAGGTGAAAATTGGAGGAGTAAGCAAATAAGTGGTTAAATTAGTTTAAAGAATCGCATTGCCACTGTTTACTTTGTTAAAAGAAGTAGAGCCTTAGTTCAAAGCCACCATAAATGAATATAGAGCAATCAGCTATAATAGCATTCACAACATCATCCATCCAATAAGTGATCATTTAGCTACTCTAATCACTATCATCAAAACATAAGTGTTATTATGACAGCATATTTTTGATCGTTAAGCAATGAGCTTGATATAAGCTTATCTTGTAAAGCCCCTAAGTAATGAGTTGGGAAATCTTAATAGGCTATACAAATATACTGAGAAGTAGTTTTTCCACTCTTTAAATAAAATGAATTATCATCCTAGCACTCATCACTTCAGCCAACGATGGAGCTGAAGAACGTGTTAAGTCGCCACAGCCACCTGCTCCTCCTTCTGCTACTGCCACTTGTCAACTTATGTCCAAATGCATTGGGGCTTAGTCGACAGGCGGATGCTGGCCAAGATTTGGATATGGCAGCACAGCTGGCGGATGCTGATGCAGAAGCAAGGCCGGACTACGATGCCGATTCCCCGGACACGCCGCACATACGAAAGAAGCGTCTTATATGGATTACGGATGATGGTAGATTGGCCCTGCCGCCAGGCACTTCGCTTACATTTGTGCCAACCATAGCAATGCCCCTAGTTCGACACCCGCCCGAGGGATTCTTCTCCAACCTGACTATCAGCTTTCCCGTCACCAGTTAGTATTGAGCTCTTCATACCAATGATTAATCAATTAACTTGTATTTCTGTTGCCGCAATCCACAGTTGACTTTGACAAACTGGGTCTGACGGACAACCAAAATCCTTTGGGGGATCTACCGCCGTTATTCGCCCGGTCTTTTGGTCACGAGGCGGGTCACATGGTGGGTGAATATGTGGCAAGATATCTGCATGTACAGCGCAGGAAGAGGGATCTCAGTGAACAGCGCAGCAGGAGCGACGAAGATCAGCCTTTTAAGGTGCACGAAGAGGGACCAAAGTTTCCCGAACTGCCTTCCGGATTGCAGCATATTTTCCATGGAGGAGAGAGGGTTTTGCTATACGGCGTAGTGGAAGACTTTCTGTCCACCTTTGGAATGGACGGAAAGGCCTGCTTACTAAGAACCATCTGCGAGATGCACTCCCGAAGTCTAGAAAAGTTTGGGGTCTTTGGAGAAATGACAAAACTATTTTTAACGTAAGTAGTTTACTTTTACGACTAAAGTTATAAATTGTTTAACGATAAAATCTTTTCCATGCAGGGTGACAAAATCCCCATTTTCTGATCTGGTGCCCGACTACGTTCAAGCTCAGGAAGTGGGGGAGGGCAAGCAGGCTCCAGGAGAATGCTTTCCTTACTTCAAGGCTTGTCCGAAGAGTATATTCAAAGCCTTGTCTAGCAAATATACCAAACCATCTCCTGCTACCCAGACGAAAAAGACAAAACCTACGGACAGACCCGTGGGAGAGTATCACGAAGAGCAGGTGGTTCAGCTGCCCACCTCTCGAGATCGGAACAACGATGTGTACATGTAGAACCATATTCTCCTCCCTTGCGAACTCCCATTGTTGACCTCTTTTAGTTTTTAGTGTTATGATTGTATTGAGCGCGCCCTCAAAGTCACTTGCTTGTAATTAATGTGTACTAATTAATTTATTATTATTTATTTTATTTACGCATTGTATTTATTGTTAGTCGTAGGCGTTGTTAACTGCTTAGATTCATATCTCTGTTTGTGTAAATAATTGCAATTGTGGCATAATCCCTTTCAACCAACCTTGTTGAACAAATAGAAAATTGGTTCCCAATAAAAATGATTTTAATGTAAATACGTTTTAAGCTCGCGCCATATTTTAAAGCTGGTTACGTTATCCAACACTAACGTGAATCACTAAGCTTATCGGTTCTATTGTAAGTTTCTTTATTAAAGTTGCTAATTAGAAGAAAAGTTGGTTTAAAAAAATATAGTATATAGCAAATCTTAAATTTAACAAAAATTAAAAAAAAATAATTTTTAGGCCAGTGAGAACGAATCATTTTCCATATGCACTTGTAATCTTAGATAAATTACCTGGTGTTGCCTGGTCACACTTGAAGCTTTGTTTTGGTTTCGCAGCGAAAAAAAACAGCAGCGTCGTGAGTTCTTTTCGTTTATTTACCAAACTCTGCACAAACAAACCAGGGCATTACGTGTTGCACAGATGTTTGCGGATCGCCGGGGCAATCAATAATTGAACGGTGAGTGTTACTGGGTGGGGTCGGGGCAAGTTGTTACTACGGAACCGGGAGCAGCTTTGCTAGCGACAAGGCGCTGTGAGTCAGGCGATATGTGCTCGCTGATTGAATTGGATTATCACGATATGGCCTCTTCAAATTGCCAGCCGGCATTGTAGTTGTTTACATTGAGTGGACGTGGCGCAATATATTTTTAATCTTCTGCGGCAACCTGCTGATTAAGATACCCCCATACCTTTTAATTGTACAGATAACTCGGCAGTGGAACTCTGCAGCTGGCAGACGATGGACACAAACGCTGGGGAGTCAGCATCGCCTCCGTCAAGTAATGAGGCAGCGGCGGGGTCTCAGTCCCAGAGCGATGTCTCCGAGGAGGAAGAATATCTGGACAACAGCATCGAACTGAGGGGTTATCTTAGCAAATGGACAAACTACATCTATGGGTGGCAGCCGCGCTATATAGTCCTGAAGGATGGAACCCTATCCTACTATAAATCCGAATCCGAGTCGGATTTCGGGTGCCGCGGAGCCATCAGCCTAACCAAGGCCACCATTAAGGTAGGACAGCCGAAGAGAGGGTGCAGCTGGGAGCTCCTCCACCAAGTGCTTTCAATTGGACTAATAAAAAAGTAATGGGCGTGAGTGTTTGCGCATGTGTTTGGGACACATTAACCAACGATGACCACGACCCGAGGTCTCCGCCTCATTCCTAGTCAACTTCAATTCCCAAGCCAATACACTCATTCCCATTCCAATTCCAAGCGATGCAATCAATGCAGCGCAATCAATTAACGTTGAGCGACGAAAATAGACCAAATTGAAGTCATCAATGTAAGTGGCGAACCCCTCAGACCTCCATTATAAGGCCTTCTGTTGACAGGAGGGCGTGTTGTTCTAGGAGGGTGTTTCACCACGATTGTGTACTTATCTATTTATATTGTCGAAGCAGAAAAAACTATATAAACAATAGTGACTCACTAGCCCCGACAATTCCTGTAATTCTTGTTGACTTTTGGAGTACTGCTCTTATTTATAAATAATTAAGCTAAATCTATTGAATGGTTTTATCACAACCTTAATCGATTAGAAGGTCAATATTTTAACAGTAGGAATTTCGTTTAATTTGTAGTTAATACAGCATAGATAGATCCCATTAAAAATATTGTAACTAATCAGGATCCAAAGTGTTTTCCCTAATGATCACAATTTGTTTTATGACTGCTTCAATCGAGCATAAAATGTAGCCTTGAATGGAGTACATTACAGTAGTGCTTCCATAAATCGAAATTTATATAAGAATAGATTTATTGTGAATTGAGTGCTAAGATAGACATCTAAATGATTTTATAACTCAATGCTTCCTTATTTGGAATTATTTTATTGGCAGATTGGCGGATAGATTATAGAAGTTTGACTGAATATTCCGTTTCTATAAGATTTAAGATTGTTGTTAATTTGGGGGTTATTATGATTGTAGAAATTTAGTGTTTACCACTGATTTGCGTTCCGTTTTAATCAGTCATATAAACTATAAATGTTTTTTTATACTACGTTGATTTGTCGAATTTATTTAATTTCGTTTGAATATCTGGGCTCTGAAATAAATACCCATTTCTGGCCATAAGTTCCAGTATTATTTTGCCTTACTATATGCATTCCAAACTTTTCCCATTAAACAAGCTATGAATGTGATTTCAAATAGAAATACTCATTGCAAGTGTTGAGTTCTAAGTATTCATCATTATTTTGGAAACAATTTTCCTTACCTATTATTAGGTTTGGATACTTATAAGTAAACTTATCATTTGCAGGCCCACGAGTCAGACGAACTACGGTTTGATGTGGTGGTCAACAACCTGAATAACTGGTGCCTGCGGGCGGAGACTAGCGAGGACCGTATGCACTGGGTGGAAGTTCTGCAGCTGTACAAGGAGGATACGGGCAGCACGGATACCACTTCACTGCGGCGCCATGGCAGCACAATGAGCCTTCAGTCAAACACCATTTCGCTGACCAGTGGGGGAAGCCTGAAAAAGACGCAGCGCAACCTGCGCGAAAAGGTTGGCGAACTGGAGACATTTAAGGATATCCTTTTCGGGCAGATCGAGACGCTGCAGCGATACTTTGATGCCTGTTCGGAGGTTAATAAAAACAATGTCCAACCTTTAGACCTGGGCGACGGTCTCAAGTCCATCGATTTCAAGGTAAATTAGAGCACTTATCGGGTTATATATGCTAGTATACCCCCAAATTTCTCAGGGGGAATCCATAACGTTTCGGGCCACCACCTCTGGCGTGCTTACCACCCTGCAGCATTGCCTAGAAATCATTGGCGAGAGCGATGAGTCATGGAAACGGAAACTGGATCGTGAAATAGACAAACGCCGCCGTTCCGAGGACCAGAGCAAGTAGGTTGACCTAGTCGGATTAGATTTCTAAAAGCCATTATGGAAGCCATTTAGTCTGATTTTGTTGTATTTACTTATCATAATATTGGAATTTAGGTTGAAAACTTTCAAGAAACAATTACTATATTTTCCAATTGATAATCATTTCTATATGAATAACGAAATATTACTAATTTTTAATTCTTAAAACTAAAATAAAATTTCCTGTGGTTTATGTTTTGCAGAAAGTTCAAGGACGAAATCGAGAAAATGAAGCGTCTATCATATCCTGGCCCAGATTTCGAGGTGAGTCCAAGTTTACAGCCCGTAAAAGCAAAAGCGTAATCGCATTCACGGTCATTGCTGCCCGAATCGGGGCCAAACACGTTCCCACTGAAAAAGCAAACAATCACCGAACGAGAGAGTGGCGCGAAATTCGTAAAACGATTTGCGTGTGATTTGTCGGCGTCTTAAAATAAACTGCCTGGTTCGACGTTGTGTCAGAGATTTCATCATATGTAAGGAAAGTAGAACACGCTGGACTATTATTTAAGCGGTTACAATTGATTCATGGAATGTCTATATTCGGTTCCGATTTTTGGCTGTCACGGAATACCTGTGTTCCGCTCTTATCTACAATAGGTCATGCAATACAGTTTTTTGCTTTCTTTACACCGCTGCCTGATTTCCGCCTTATATTTGTTTGCCCATTCAATTATAATGTAATGGCATATGTCCATATGGGTCTATCTACTATCTGCACTGCTCCTCTAATCATAGTCCAACGGATTGACTTGGTCGTTATTCTTGGCCCAATCACTTGGCGACTACTCAAGCTGAAAGAGTGAAGCGTCTAGACGGTTTCTTTTGGTCAGATTGACAGTTGGACATTGCTGAAGATTTACCTCGAGCCAATATTGCAGACATTAAGGTTAACGAATGATTTAATAGTTGGTCCGATTGCTCTTTTTATGAAGGGGTATATGTGATAATCACATTTAAAATGATATTTTAAAAGGAAGTAAAAATGAAGTCATACTCTCAGAATTACCTTTAGAAATATTTTAATAAATAAGACATTTCATCTTGCACTTAAAAATGGAGATATTAATATTGGATTTCTTCAATTTATCATTTTTTTCTCCATAAAAATTCCAGTTGAGAGCATTCAAAGTCCAACTATATCTCAAGCTCTTGCTTTCAGCCTGGCTTACAGCTGTCAGGTTTATGGCTTATGAGCTAAGCTGGTCAGTCGGCGGTCAGCGATCGAGTGGCCAACACGTACCAATCATAAACAAATTCGCCAGGCAAACAATTCAAAACGAAACCGTTTCTTTTTTCATATTTGCTGTGGCATTTAATTGAGTGTGCAGATTGTGAAATTCTTTGTGTTGCATTGAAAGAGCTATTATAAATACATTCATATACAAGTGCTAGCGAGTGCTAGCTCATGTTGCAAATATAAAATCGACGCACGCACAATAAAATAAATATACAAATTTTATAAATTTATAAACAACGTCAACGCCATGCCCTCGGCGCGATTTCTTTGGCGCTCAGGTGGTTTTCAGAAGGGCAAAGTCAAACAAATAAAGGTACACTATGAGAAAACTTTAAACAAAATGTATATTTAGGGAGTGTTGATTACTGAGTTTGTGTGGAAAATTTATTAATAATAAAAATGATTACCTATGATAATAAGTAGTTAACAAATTCAGAAAGTTTAGATATTTTTCATTAATTTTGGTTCAGTGCAGTCACGGACATAGCCTATTCCTATAAGATCTTTATAAACGAAGTTCTATTACTCATCAGACTGTGTTTAAAGATTAATTGTTAGAAAGGAATTTTATATACAGAATTTCAGACTGATAGTGATGAATGAAAAATTCTTAACTTGATAAACTTAAGTTTGGGAAATTCTGAATTCCGTAGATTAAAATGTTTGGAATTTTACATAAAACCTTTAGTTGGGTGAGTAGTTTAGCAATTATTTCTTTAAGTGTTCCCCCAAAGAAGAGGGATAAAATGTTGGCGGTTGGTTTTTCAAACCAAATTGGCCTCATTTGTCGGCCAACCCAAGCCGTGTTGAATGTTTATAAGTTGGAAAGTGCGGTGGCTTAAACCCCACGCATTGATTTATTATTTAAATACGAGAAATCCTTTTCATTAAAGCTTTTTGCTTTGCGGGCTTTTCGCTTTTTTACTCTCATCCACCCGCCATCTCCTGTTCTCATTCGTTGGCTTGCTCTCTTCTCCTCTCATCCTGGCCATGTGGCCATTGCGTTTTTGCCACCAGCAACAGTTTGTTTTGTGTCCTTGTGCCCGACGGAAGGATTCGTCCGGACACTAGTTTGCTCGCATTCTCCGCTTTCGCTTGCCACGCAAAACCTTTCTCTCTCTCTCTCTATTTGGCTCTCTCGCGTTTGGATTCCTGTTATTTACCTGCTGTGAACGAGGAGAACTTTTGCCCGCTTGATAACAGTTTTTTTTCTGTTGGGTTAAAATCCAGCAATTTGGAGAGGAGCCTGGTTAGAGGAGACAAAGCGACGCCACAGGAATAAGTAGATATAGCTCATGACTTCATCGCTGGCCATTTCCCAGTTTCCCCACTTGGCCAAGATGATGATGCACTCGACTTCACGTCGGGGAGTGTATTTATTTCACCGCCTGTGGCAGCGCACATGTCTGGTTTAATTAATAAATATAAATTCAATTTCGTAAAAATTCCATTCGAGGCATTTATTTTGTGCCGGTTGCCGTTCTGGGGATACACGCGCCACCCGCAGACGTCAAAATGTGTACAGTGAAGACTCGTAAACATAGAAATGAGTAAACTTGTGGCTTTTCATGTTAAGCAAACAATTGTCTTTCTTTCCATTTCGAGTACTATATTGAGAAAGTTTATATATTTTTAATCACAAAACTAAAGTTAAAAACGAACAGTTTAAAAAATACACAAAAAATATTCATTAATTTAATTGAGCTTCAGCAGGAATTTAAGTAGTTTCGGTAGTGTTTTCCCCGGAGAGTTTCCACTGCTTTAATGGGATTCAAGTACCAAGCCCCGTCTGGCGGTCTTCTGCTTTCGTATTCATGGCACAATGATGCGCCTTTGTGTCCATTATGCTCGCCCAATTACGCATGCCAGCCGACTACGAGAATCTCCGCCTGCTGACTGGTTAGGGAATGGAACGGGCGAAAAAACAACAGCATAAATTGGATTTTCTTGGGCCATTTGGCCGCACAAGTGTCGGCGATTAATTTATACAAAGCACGTTCCATTTCTTTCCAATTGGTTTGAATGCGGTTTCGTCATTAAAATTAATTAGGCCGAACCTTCGAAGATGTTTTGGGCTAAACTTGACTTAGTTTATTAAGTACAGAACGTGCCCAGTGTTAATGGATATGTATATTTTGGCATTCATTTCCCTTTCAATATTGCAGGAGGGTCCACATTCCACATTGCCCGAAGATGAGTTCTTCGATGCGGTTGAAACGGGCCTGGACAAAATCGAGGAGGACATGCAACTGCGCTTCAAGCTAAAGCTGCAGTCACAGATCTCCCAGACGCTGGTCAACGTTCCACACGAGGCAGTGGCCGAGGGCGAGGAGGCGCGCGAGGAGTTCGGCACAGGGGCGGAGGCCATTAGCCATGCCCTGTGGCCCGAGGTAGGACCGGAAATTGCCAATCTTCCCCCTTAATATCCAGCCATTAATTGGATTTATCCCACAGATCGATCGCGTGTGCAAGGAGCAGCTGCACTACGCACGCGAGGGCGTTGGCCAGGACGGAAATGGCTGGCAAATCTTTGCCGACGAAGGGGAGATCAAAATGTACAAACGCGAGGAGGAGGTCAACGGGCTAGTCATGGATCCCCTGAAGGCCTATCATACGGTACAGGGCGTGACGGCCAGGGAAATGTGCCATTACTTCTTCATGCCCGAGTTCCGGAACGACTGGGAAAGTGAGTATTTGAATGAGTCTAGCTTTTACTTTTATTTGTTGGTCTTTAGGTGGGCAATTAAAAAAAGCTTTATTGCATTATAAAGCTATTTATATCATAAATTTATAATCATAACTGAATTGACTATAAACGTGGCATTATCTGGGAAAAAGTCATGATTGTTACGCAAAAATGGTTAAAAGCTTTTTTCTTTACTTATTTGCGTCTAGTACTTATCTAAATCAAACAATTTACGAAATCTTGTTGACCTAAGATTTAACTCGCCACTTTTATGGAGAGATTTTTCATGCATAGGTTTTTTGTTATATCTATATAACGCTTTATTGACTGTTTAATGCTCTATAATTCACAGCCACCTTGGAGGACTGCACAATTCTTGAGAAAATCTCGGCGGACACCCTGCTCTTTCTGCAAACCCACAAGAGAATATGGCCGGCGAGCCAGCGGGATGCGCAATTCTGGTCGCACATGCGCAAGATCACCGACAACCTGGAACCGGGAGCTCGGGACATGTGGGTTGTTTGCAATAACTCAACAGAGTACGCCAAGCAGGAGTCCAAAAATGGAAAGTGCGTGAGGATCTTCCTGACTGTCATCCTGGCCTGCCAGACCCATCTGCCAGAGGGTTATGTGAAGGGTCAGCCCCTGAATCGAAGCGATTTAACCTGCAAAATAACCTACTGCTCTGTGGGTAAGTATCCTGTTCTTTTTACTAGTAAATTTATATTTATTATTTATGTTATTTCCTATGGCTAGTTAATCCCGGAGGCTGGGCGCCAGCAAGCGCACTGAGAGCTGTGTACAAGCGAGAGTATCCCAAGTTTCTGAAACGCTTTACGGGATACGTAATAGACCAGTGCAAGGACAAGCCCATCATGTTCTGATATCTGCCATAAGCAACAAAGCAAAAAAGCAATCAAAACCAATCAAAGCTGAATCACGTCTCACGTATAAGGCTTGGACTTTATCCTTAATAAGCCTCCAGTTTGTGGCCTAAACTATATTTGAAATCCGTTTTGCTACTCCTTTACTTTAATTTTTATATACCATCGTAACGTTGCGTTGTACTACTTTTGCCCTAGTGTACAAGAGTGTTCTCTAAGCGAAATGTTAGAATTCCCTTTTGTAACCGCGTTAAAGCCACTAAGATATAATGTAACCTGTTTAGCCTTAAGTTATGTGTAAGTGAAACACAATCATTGTATAGCTCTTAGTTCCGAAACTGTCTATCTGTAATGTATATCTACATATATGAAAATGCTTTAAATGCAACAATTGCAAGAATGATATGAGGGATAATTAGTTTTAAGGAAAAGCTTTCCTTTCGGTGTGAATCTATATTATATATCTGCATACGTACGAGACGAGTATATATATTTCCATATTCCCGCCCAGTAACATCGGTTTAACTCGACTTTCAAATGTAAATAAATGCGACTTACTGTTATCTCCCAATAAAAGAGCGATGTTTGCTTGGTTTTATCATAAGTCATGTCATGTATTTGAAGTTTTTCATTGATTCCGCGAACTATTTTTAATGTACATAAACTGTGCTGTTTTAGAAGAATTTTCGTGTGTAATTTTACAACTTGTTTATGTAGTTTTCTTAATAGCAATGTGCCAAAACACCTTTTATTTTCGAATTTACAACCAAGTACTGCAGTTGAAGTTTTTTAAATGCCTACAATTTGCTTTTGTTTTCATTTTGTTGTGCAGTCTGAAAAGTTGCCTTTGCCAAATGTGTTCTCGATTCTAGTTAATTCATTAAACTTCAACTTTATAAGTTAATCAATCATCCACGAGTGGTATTACGTTTACAATCTTTGGTTTTTATCGTTAATGCTTTTAATATGTATGTATGTACTTGTTGTGTCATATTGTCATGTAATTGGTTGCTTGGTTGTTGTTTGTCGTTGTAGCTATTGGAAAATAGAGTTATGTATGTATATATACGCGTGTCTATATGGTACAGGAGCTGTGTCTGTGTATCGGAGATGTGTATGCTATTTGGCAAATATTCGGCTATATCTGTCTGTATCGGGTCAATAGTAGTTTTCTAGTTTTGAGCGGTCACTTAGTTTTCGGCTTATGGAAATGCATGCTGGTTTGGCTTTCGTTAATATCTTCCACTAACATTTAATACGTTCTTATGCTCCATGTAATTTTTTTTTATGTTTTTAATTTTTGGTTTTATCTTTGTATAATACGATTTTAGAAGTACTCGTAATTGTATGACGCTTAGCTATGTACAACAGTTTCATAAACTATCTGAATGCATTCGTTTTATTGTATCCCCGTAAATTAATTTAATTCATTTAAGTAACTAGCTAACAGTTGTCAAGTATTCTTGCCGCAAACACTTACAAACTGACGCAAAACTGGATCAATGGAAACAAACAATGCAGTTCAACGAAATGTTCATAATTCACTACAAATGCAAAGAATTTCGGTAACTTTCTTTCAATTTTATATAGTATTGTTATGCGCATATAGTACTATATGTTTATCTGCCCTTGCCCGACTTGTCACATCTGCGGCCTGCCGCAGTTCGGTTTATCATACATTAAATGCTTAATTTAGGATCTATAACATTAATTTATTTATATCCATCCCGTCTCTGCCTTTGCCTCAACTTATTTTAAGTTTATGTTCATTACACTTACGCAGCTTTTCAAGTTTAACTAAGCATAATCAGTGTGTAAATAAGTCTTATGGTTTATTTCTCGTGCTGTTTCCGTTTCGTTAGAAAAAACTGATGTTCGTTGAAAATCAAATTTTCCTCTAAAATTTGTAATATTCGATTCATTCGCTCTTCTCCCCCAGCTGCCTCACCATCGATTCTTGTCTGCTCTGTTGTAAATAGTTGAAATGCTCTTTTAGATTTACTGACATTTAGGTATTGTTTTTTTAGAGTTAGTTAGCTGGAAGTGGGCTTCAAGTCAAGTCTGTCGAAATTTTAATACGATTTCGAATTGGTTTTCTCGCTTATTGGGTGGATTTACAACAAATTTTACAGTTTCGTTTCACGCGAATTCCGTTTATACAATCAGTTTAAGATTACGTTTAAAATTAACACCCTTCCTGGGGGCCTAGACATTTATCTGGAAAGCCTCCCGGTGCAGTTTCTGATTGGCACGCATTCGTGGCGACGTCTGGGTCTTCGTCTTGTCGTTGGCATCCGAAAAACGAGCTGGTGGATTTATGTGGTCCTGATAGTTTGGTGGATAGTTGGATATGCTAAACGTACAGGGTTCTGATTACGTAAGTAGCGGCAATCGATACTTTGCATTATCTCGCGATCTCTTACCTAAAAGTAGTTTCTTCATTGTGGCTAGAATAGCCACTGGAACTTCGCACGTGCCGTTTACCGCTCGTCCCCGGCTTTCCTGCCTTACGGGCGGCGAACGGCGGCTTCGATTTTCGGGTCATGCTAGTGGGCGTGGTCTCGGAAGAGGATGAAGTCTCATCCTGGGTATCTGTAAGTGTATAATGCGTTATTAGTTATAAATTACTAAAAGGTAACTAAATCTAAATTTATAAGAATGTTATAATGAATTTTTATTTTATAAAGGTTTCTGCTTACCACGTTGTGCACGATACTTGGCCGAGTTAAGAGCGCGTGCAGACACATCATTGTCGGACTCGGAGCCGAGTGTGTCATATTCTGTAATTGGGATGTGAAGCGTTAGGATTTTCCTAACTTCGGAATCTGTTGAACCTGGATTGTCCGATTCTAAAAAGTTTAGTACGATTCGATGGATTTGTACGTTGTTTGTTGGTTTTATCGAGATGATGTACGGAATGTGAATGGAGAAAAACGTTGAGAGCAATGAGAAAAAGATGGGTTAAACCAAGGGCTTAGAGGATCGCTTGGATAGGTTTGGATGGGATGCGACTGTGACAAACGATGATTCAATTTGGCTTACAGCTAGCTAGGAATCTTTGGGGTTTTGGGGCAGGAATGGGGATTGTACAAAAGGCAGGAGGGGTGAACGTAAACCCATGTCATAGCTACCTTGGCTCTCTGAGTGCGGATCCCTGAGACGACCAACTTTTCGTCGCACTTTAGTGTACTCCGGTTCCTTAGACTGTAAGAGGAAAGAGTTTTTAGTAATTAAAATTAATAAACTTTACTTATTTGTACTCACATGATAGCTTTCTGGCTTGACATCGTGGTAGACAAAGGATCCGCGCACCGAGTGGTAGGGACCACTGTACACATTGCCGCTGTAGGAGCTCTCGCTATAAGTCTGTTTGTTCAGTTGAAAGGTGGCATAGGGACAGATGTCCTCGATGTACTCATTGCCCTCCGCCTTGCCAAAGCTCCCGGAATCGTTGGAATTCGATCCCCTTGGCGCGGAGGTTCCTGGATTACATCGTACGGCTAGATACTGTTGGTCCCGATTTTGTTTGTTCTGCAGATTGGCCAGCGACGGAGACTCCGACATTGAGGAACTAGCCAGTCGGGCCTGGTTGCTCAGCTCTGTAAGAAGTTTTAATTTAATTTCTTCATTTTCCTTTTATTTTTAAGGACTTACTTCGCTTTCTGAGAAACAAAGCGGCGCCAATCAAAGCCAGCAACATCAGTAGGGAAAAGCAGATGGGCAGTAGCAGCTTGAAGTTGGCATAGAAGGGCAGATCGCTCAGGTGGGAAACGGGCGTGGAGTGGTCGTTGTTATACATCACTAAAAAATAAAATCCAACATTACAATAATCCTCTAAGAGTGTGATTCCAAAAGTTACCTCCTTGAGTAGAGAGTGTGGTAAAGTTGTAGATAGCCGTTGTGGAACCGGCATTATTATGGGCCGTGACTTTGAGCTGATACTTAGTGCCTGGAACCAGATCGCTCACCGTATATATCCTTTCCGTTGGCGGAATATGATTGGAGACCACCGCCCACGAAGATCGTCCGTAAACCCTCGACTCGATCATAAAATAGAGGATGCCACAGCCCCCATCTCCCCAGGAATCCAGCCAGCAAGTAACGCTCGTTGAGTTGTTGGTGATCATCTGGGAGTGCTTTGGCTGAACAGGAGGATTACCCTTTGTATAGGAGTTGACTATATCGCAGGGTAGCCCTGTTCCAATCTTATTATAAGCAGTTATATACAGCTGATATCGTGTCCCGCACCACAGATTGGTCAGCAGGTGCGAAGTGGTCTTGGAGTCCACTTGCAGCTCCTCCCAATCTCCATTGTCACGTTTGTAATTGATGACATAACCAAGGATTGGGCTACCGCCATGACTATTGTCCATCCATTCCAGGAGCAGGCTATCCGTATAGGCATTTATCACCGTGAGATTGGGTGCATCTGGAGGCACTTTCACCACTATATTGTAGACTATCTCGTCCTTGCCCCAGGTGTTCTCCACGCTGCAGGTGTAATTGCCGGCATCACTGGCCTGGCACTCCTTCATATAGAGCGTACCATTCTTGGCTATCGTCTTGCGGGCACTCGTCTCCATATTGTGACCATCCTGCCGCCAAATGGTAACCGGAGCTGGTGCTCCTACCTTCCGACAGGGCAGTTCCAAATGCTCCTTCCAGGGCGTGACTATACGCTGGCTAAAGGACACTATCCGGGCGGGGACCTTATTGTTCGGTGGCACCGTGACCACTTGTGTTTTCTCGCCCTCGCCCATCTTGGTTGAGGCAGTCAGCCAGAATTGGTACGTGGCCGACTCCTGGGTGCGCACAGTCTCGTGCATTTCCACGAATGGACCCAGCAGACGCTTGTGGGTGCCCTCCTCGCGTCCTCCCTCCAGCATGGACATGTAGAAGGTGTAACCCGTCTGGGGGAGAGAATGGGTTAAGCGTTAGAATGGAGCACATTATGGCATCAATACACTATGTTGATAATTTGTTATTAATGTGATAAGGCTGACCTTGATCAGTCTTCCCTGACCAATCCAATAATAAACCCCATGGAGCTACAGAAATAGACTTACAATGTCACCGTTGGGCAGGTCGGGTGGCAGCCAGGATATTATGATTTTTGAGCTCGACGCGGGTATCGCCTTGATGGCCTGCGGGGCGGAGGGCACTGCATTCCACAATTGCGATTGCACAAATAAATGAACGTATATATATATATATATATGTAGTATATGAATAAATGTATATATCGGTAGATGGGTGGGTGCATGGTGTTGCATGAAAATTGCCAGCGCGGCAACGACAACGAATCGAGGTGGCTGGCGAGGATTGAGGATGGGAAGAAATGGGAAGGATGGGCATGATGGCTGGATGGGATTGCGATTGCGATTGGGGGCGGGTGAAGTGGGTTGTGCCGCACCTCGTTTGCGTTCATTGAACCGAACGCCACTTACCATCCTCGTGGGTGCGGCAATAAAACGGTTTGGTTTTCATGCCATCGCCTACTTTGGTGTAAGCCAAAACCCAGACCGTGTAGTTGGTGTATTTGCGCAGATTCTCGATGGTGACGTATTGATTTGTTG